TTCGTTGATACTATCTACAATACATCTTTAATTATGTTTACTAAAGCTATAAATATTCTGATTATGATGTAATAACAAGCTATAAATTGAACTCTGGAGTAAAGAGTATTTTTATTATAACTATTATTGTAAGCTTTATTTTTTGTTTTTTGGGGGTTTTTTTGTACTGACAGAATGATAGGTCTATCCACAATGGAATTATCTATGACCTCAAATATTTTTTTTTTTTTTTGTTTTTTTGTTTTTTTTTCTTATTAATATTGAACAAAAAATTGCCAATATGAAAGGATATAATACTTTTCTGTACATATCTATTAGTTACTGTTATGTGCATTGTCCTTTTACTTTTCTGGTTGTTGGAAACAATGACAGGTAAAAAGAATAAAATCAAGTATAAAATAAACTGTACATCTTTATCTTATGTTCTTATTCTAGATAGAATTAAGGAAGTAGCAAGGGAAATTACCAGGTGTAGTTGGGTAAGATTTTGACCAGAATTTGTAATTGATAATTCTTTTTGGATGTATATTAAGGATTTATTCAGAGGCTGGAAAGAAATTAATAGATGGTGAAGTGTAGTATTAACAATGGCAACAAAAAACACTTTATATAAATAGTTGATAATGTATTTTCTATCGAATGACTTATAAATAAAATCTGTGTTTATTGTTTGTATAGATCAGTTTTTTTTGTTTTTTTTCTAGTTTTATTGGTAAACATTTTTGACCAGTTAAGAATTTAGTTTTCATTGCAGAATATTTTTTTTGGATGATTTGAAAATCAAGTTCATCTTTTGGTTTTATATGAACAAGAGATTTGGAGATGGAGTGGTTCCTTCTGAACTTATTTATGAGATTTCATTTTTTCATGTTTTATGCATTACTTACAAAGTTCCTTCATTGAAATTCCTCCCAGAATCATTTTGTTAAGGCAAAAAGAATGGTATTGGTATTGGTTATTTCAATAGATTTGATATTCACCAACAGAAATATAATGACATCCTCACTTTATTAAATTTATTCCAAGTTAGTAGATAATAGCATATATTCCATCCTACTCAAAATATAGTTCAGTCTTTTATGGTTAGTTTTGTCATTGTAAAATCTCAAAGAACAAATAACTACCTCTTTCCTTACATTATTAAATTCCTTAAAACTTTTTCCTTAAATTATCTAAATAATAATAGTTCTAAAAGATAAAAATCTTTAATATATTTGCCAGACTTGTTGTACTTATTTATCAACATGACTTCCATTGTATCAGTTCGGATGAAGATTTAATTTGTAAGCTCACCCAGTGGCAAATGAATATAATCATAGATTTAGTTGAGGTGGTATAACAAAACTTGAGGTAGATTTTGTAACTTAAACAGAATTTAATCAGTTAGAAATCAAAAAAAAAAAATGCCAAAAAACAGATTTTTAAGAAGTATCAGTATTTTTCTTAAAAACTTGTACTGTTAAAAGAATTTTTGATGTTTTGTATTGATATGCCTCTTAAAGAAATATTGTGGAGTTCATCAATCAAAGGAATGAGATTTTACAATGTGAAATTCTCTATTGTTTGAGATATTTTCAACTATATACATTGAATAAAAATAAACATCTTGATAACAGGATTATTATTCTTACATTGAATCTAATAGGTAAGTTTTTAATACTATTTTTGAATGTTTTCATTTGTCAATATCTGTAAGTATATAAACCATACTTTGATTGCAATGTTACAGTTACTTTGTTAAGCTGTTTTTATTATATTTTGTTTTTTTTAACTATCTAGTTCTGTGTTTGATTTAGAAGAGAATGTAGATTTTTCTGTTAATAAAGAAATTATCTTTGCTCTATGAAGATATTTTATCTCACCACCTCAGGTAAATTCTGTAATTGTATCTCTGTTTATGATATTTCTGTCTGTATTTTAAATATGTGAAGTAAAAAAAATGTCATAAGACGAGAAGTGATTATCTTGTGTACATTTGTATTTCTTGATGTCATTGGACTTTTATTAAATATTTATTTCTTGACAGTTACATTCTAAAGTAATTCTGTATGTATGCATTTAGAAGATAAGTCATCAATAGTAAAAATTTATTCAAACTTCTTTCCTTGTTTTTAGCTTTGTCATTTAGATAATCAGGTACTATTATGTTGACTATTACTGAGCTATATATTTTCACATCTCTAATCTCAGTATTAGCATTTGAAACCTTCTATGCTATAATCTACAGTGTGAAATATGGTAGAAATTTTACATTTTTGTATTTGTATGGCAGGTAGTTTAAAGGTTTATGCCTTTCTTTAGAGCATTTGCACAAAATAGTCCAATCTAATTTCTTTGAAGCTTTAACTACTGTTTTACCTGAAGTACTGATTAGATATTGTGTATAATCATGATCATCTTTTTATGCATTTAAAATTTATTTCAATGTAAATTGTTTAAAAATTATTAGCTTATTAAAAAACAAAAATCAATACAGCATCACATTTGATCTTTTTGTTTTCTACTCTTTATCTATTAAGATGTATCACATGAGCTTTTTGGGATCCTTAGATGCAATACTCTGAGCAAGAGCATCTTTTCTGTTTAGGTATATTTTACTTTGACTGTTTTATTAGCTATTTTGTTTTTGTTTAACATAGTCATTTGGAAAGTTTGTTGACCGGTTAGAAAATAGTAATTATAGCCATTTCCTTATGAGGAAGCATTTGGCATTTTGCTCAGCCTGTACTATTTTCAGTTGAAATTTATAAAATATTTCTCTTAAAACAATTTTTTTCAGGAAAATAGGTTTCCCAAGTCCAGTAACTATTATTATTTCCAGTATTGGTGGGGGAGCTTTCTTTTCTCACCTTTTGTTTGAAGTAGTGTGGAATGTCAACATCTTGATTGTCACTATTTTCTGTTTGAGTTACATGTTCTATCCATTTTAGCTTTGTTGAAAGTCCTCAAGTGGTACGGTTTTTGTTACCTGGTACTGTTCTTTATTTGTATTCTGTATTACCAAGCAACAAGTTTCAAAAAAGGATAGTCCTTACTAAAACCTACAGGCTTCATTTGCTTAAAGCCATTTTTAATCTTTTATCTGAAAAATCAATTGTATACAGCTGACATTTTAGATATTTCTGAATGAGTTTGGCATCATGCATGTCATCAATAGGAATATCTTGATCTGACAATACCATTTAAGAACATTGAACTGCTACTTTATTGAACAAATTCACAAGAGGATACTTCCTTGATTTCAACAATTTTAACCTATTCAAATCTAGGATTAACAGTTATCTACCCCATTAACTGTTCTCCTTACTTCTTGCTCTGTAACCCTCTACCATGAGTGACACTTTGGCATTGTACAGGGTGAACATTATTATGATTTTAGTTTCTTGGATTAAGGTTTTGGTTTTGTAGCAATTTGTGGTGTTGGGTGAAAGTGCTCCTAGCACAGCCTATTCTATATCCAATTTCCCTGTCTGTGAAGTTAAATTCATTGTAACTGATCCATACACTGATATATTTGAAGTATAGTATATTTACTAATTCCAGATCCTCAGTTTTTATGGGCATAAATATCAATCTTTCCCTAATCATCAGTTATCTCTCTGTTGTCTCTGATGTGTCATGAGAGAAGCTGGAGTCATATGCTTGTGTCTTTCTCACTATCATCCAAGTACAGACCATAATTCATTGAGATAATTTTCAGAAACTAATGGCTGTCAATTCAAATACACCAGGTCAGAAAGCGAAATGTTCTAATTATTTTCTCAACTCCCCCCTCTCTCTCTCTCTCTGACATTTGGATTTTTCAAGACAGATATTAAATAATTAATTTGAATTTATATTATTACCATTAATGTGTTATTTATTCATCTGCACATCTGACAATCATTGCTTATCCAAGCAGTATTGATTTTGAAAATGTATAAAAAGTAAATTGCTGCTGGCTTTAATAAATTCTTGATTTCTTATTTTATAACTTTATCATAAGTATATAGTTTAACAATTCTTGCAGATAAGACACTTGACAATAATGGACTGTCAGCAAAATTTATGATTTCATTCTGAATATAGAGGAAGTAGTTATTTTTACATTTGAATATTTAAAGTTGTCATTCTCCAGTCTTTGCTATAATTTTCACTCTTCATTGAAAAAACATTTGGCAGTTATTTTCAATAAAGCTTAACATTTCCTCATATATTAGATGGCCAAACTGCCTTTCTCAGTTTGAATAAAGTTTACATGCATATTCTTGCTGCTACTTACTGCAATCTTAATTGTCATTATTACATAACTCTTTACAAAACATGTAACATGGAAGCAAATTTGAATCAAAACTTTTTATTGAAATAATTTTTATAAAATCTATCACATTTATATTTGAATTTTATAAATCTCTCTTACTTTCTTCTTTTTTTTTCTAAAAATTGTTTTAACTAGATTATTTTTTTATTGGAAAGTCAACACTGTTGTGCATTATACACTGTTATTTATGTAAAAACAAAATAAACCAATGAGATTTTAACTGCACATTAAATATTAAATATTCAAATACTGCTTTCAGTCCTTGCTTTGAACACTTTTGTGCTGAATAGTGTGAATGATTTGTTTTGTACTATTTGTAAACATGGCTGATCACTGCCTACTGTTAATATTTGGTAGGCTCAGCAGAAGAAATTTCTTCATGTTTTGTTTTAAAAGTAAACTTGAATTTTCATCCACTGCATCTGTGTGTGTGTGTTGTTTTTTGATGTAATCCCAATCATCCGAGTTATTTTTTTTTATTCTTTTTCATATAAATTGTTCTGGTAAGAACTTTGATTATATTCAGAATCCATATTATTCTTCCTTACACAACATTTATGAAGTACTTAAGAAGCATGAATAAATAGCTTATTTTCTCACCCAATTCAAAGATATTAATTTGCTTGTCTCTTTTCATAGAATGGAGTCAAGACATTGTCAAGATGATGCACACTAATAACATTTTTCTTATTATTTTCAGGTTGATAATTTTGGATTTGGAATTGCTGTGAGTGGTGGTCGTGATAATCCACATTTCGATAATGGAGATCCTTCAATTGCTATTTGTGATGTCCTTAAGGCAGGTCCAGCTGAAGGAAAATTACAGTAAGACTTTTGCACCATTCTTGTTTATTTACCTTAAACATTTTTTTTTCTTTTTGTTTTCCTTTTAGAAAGTGCAACTTCTTTCAAGTTGAAGTTTATTCTCTCACTGGTTTGTTTTTGTTTTACTTATAGAATTAATGACAGAGTGGTTAGTGTAAATGGTCTCTCTCTTGAGAATGTTGACTACAACACTGCAGTGACTTTGCTCAAGGAGAGTGGGAAAACCGTTCACCTAGTAAGTACAAATTTGATGTATTCTCAACTTTGAACCTGTGTTTAATATTGTATTAGTTTTCTGGAAATTAATATATTTTCTTTTTAATCCTTCTTATAAAATTACAAATTTAAAAAGTTATAAAACAACAAGTAAAGATTACTTTTTTTTTTCTCATTTGTATGAAAAATTCTATTATGGTGGAGAGTATATTAAATACCCTGAAACTTTTGGTATTTCTGGCAAATGTATGATTAGAAAATGGAATATTTTATTGGCATCTGTTTATTTGTTTTATTTGTTTTGCTTTTGTTCTCATTTTCTGTTTTATGTAAATTAATCAGTTTTTTAATTATTTTTTTAATAAGGATTTCAAAACCCTATGCAGTTTTTTTTTTCTTTTTCTTTCTTTCTTTTTTTCCACTAGGTAATAAGGAGGAAAGCAGTCTTATCCTCTGCTGCTGATCTTGAGACCCAGCCTATAAAGCTGACTCTTTCGAAGAAAAACAGAAAAGATGGTAAATATAATTAATTTAAATTACTTAGCAATAAAATTTTGGAGCAAGTTCACTTTTTGCTAAAATATTTTGGGAGTAGCTTTTAAGTTGTAGCCACTCACATTTAAAAAAAAATATATGCTTAGTAATTTCTTTAATAAAAAATAAATGAATTACAAAATTGGAAATTAAGTTTTCAAACAGGAGAAACTGGCATTATCAAAACTGTAAAATCAAAACATATCATTATTATAATATTCATAATATATTTATTAATGTAAACCACAGAATTTTGTGGTGGGTATTGCTAGAAACATCTCAGAGCTCAACACATTTTTAATCATCATCATTAATTATGATGATCAAACATTCCAGCAAGAAAAGTTATCCAGATTATGTATTCATTTAAAAATTAAAAAGAAATTTGATTTATGCTATTTACATTGTTTGGACTGTTGTCCTCATCTTTATTACCATATTCACAATGTTTCGACCATTATACACTCCACCCTTCTTCAGGTGATATTTATTGGAATTTTAAACCAAACCATTTATTTACTCCACGAGAGTAGCTTATTCTAATTCCATGTGTCATACTTTCGGATATCTCATTTTCATTTAATTTCCCTTCATAACTCAACTCTCCAAGGTTTTGTTCCCTCTGCTGCAGCCAGGTATTGAACTCCCAACATGTTGGGTCAAGAAGGCCAGTGGCCGAAACCTCATGAATATGGCAATAAAGATGAGGACAACAGTCTGAGCAATGTAAATAGTTACAATACCTCACCTCAGAAATATAGACAGAAATTTGATTGTTTTAACCAGAAATATTTTTTAACATAACTTTTTTACATTTTAAACTGATACAAATCAAAAAATAATTAAAAAGAAGGAATTATTTTGAACTTAGTTTTTGGTCATATTTAAATGGGAAAAAAAAAATGAAAAATCTGTAAAGATTTTTATCACTAACTGCAGATTGCTTTTATTCAACTTTTCTAACACTATTTAAACCCAAATAAAATCTTATTTGATTAAACTCAGGGATTTTATCTAAAAATAATTTCAAATTAGATGTCAAAGAGATTTCTTGTTTCTGTCACATATCAGGCATTTTCAAATATAACATGAAATTAACAAATTATTTCCATCCTTGTAGCTAATTTTGTCAAATTTTGTGAAGGGCAATGATAAAATGAATAGACAGTCCCGTTTTAAAAAGTTTTTATGGACATGTTAAATATACTTTATGAAGTCCTAAAAGATAAAACACATTGCATGAAAACTTTTTACACTTTATCATCATTTTCTTTTTCTTTCCTAAAATTGTTCTTAATATATAACAATTTATATATCATTTTCCCACACAATCCTGTTTATATATCTGTTATATACTTTCTTTTCTTTTCTAGCAATCACTGTACAGAATATTTTCTATGATTTTTTAGTAATTAAAATAAGTATCTCTTTGGCAAGAAAAACATTAATTTTTACATGTCTCAGCAAGTATTGTTCCTGTATGCTTGTTTCAGATTGGCAAAAATTGTATTTAGATAATCAGCAAAATTAGATTGAAACTTAAAGTTTTATCATTTCAGTTTATTAAGAATTGTTTTATTTTAATATTTCTTATTCTTCAGCCATTGCAGACTGATTTTTCAATAATTTTTACTTTCCTTTCTGTTTTTTTTTTTTTTTTTTATAACATTTGTTTAATAACTAATTCTAAAAAAATATTTATCTTTATTAGTGTTTTATTTGTATGAAGGGATATACTTGTGAAAATTGTAGCCTCATTTATTAAGAACATAAACTATTGCCTTACTCAATTCTTACAAAAGAATTTGAAATGGTAATATTAGCCATTTCCATATAATGGAAAAATTTCGCATTTATTGACTGAGCATCTAGTACTGCTTTCAGTTGACATTTATAAAATCTTTCTTTTAAAATAATTTTTCAAGTAGCTGTTATCACTCTTTGCAATATTGATATGGTTTTCCTTCCTAACCTTTTATCTGAAGTAGTGTGGAATGTCTGTTTTGATTATACAATTATTTTCTCTTAGTGTTACATGTGCTATTCATTTTAGTTGTTGCTGCTGCTGGTAGTCCTCAAGTGATGTGATTTCTGTTATTTAGTCCAGTCCACAATGTTCAAAGAAGGATGGTCTTTGCTAAGATCCTCATGCTTTACTTGCTCAGAGCTGTTTTTAACCATTGATCTTAGAAAGCAGTTGTATACAGCTGACAATTTAGATATTTCTGAATAGTTTTGGTACCATTCATATGAAAATCTCAATTTGTTGAAGCTATTTAGGAATATGACTTGAATCTTCAGGTTGATGTTTTGCTTTCATAGCAATTTGCAGTGTTGGGCAAAACTACCTCTGGTGCAACCTATTCTATGTTCAGTTTCCTTTTCCCCTATATTAAATTTATGATCCATATGCTGAGGTATCTGAAGTGTTTAGTATTTACTAATACCACATCCTAAATTTTTATGATGGATTCAGGATATTTGCCATCACTGGGTTCATTCCAATTCCAGATTATCATTTCTGTTTTGGAAAGGTTTATCCTGAGTCCTATTTCTTGAAACACTTCGCAGATGTTGAGTTTCTATCCCAGATAAGAACATCTGTCATCAGCATAGCCCACCTCATCATCAGTACATTGGCCTTGAGAGGGAAAGCTGGATCGTTGTCTTCTAGTGCTAGATTTTTTTTGGATGTGGTATAGAATGTGTAAATGGTTAGTTCCCATCTCATCAAATCGGTGTTTTTGGTTTGTCTTTGCATAATGAATTTGCAGAGAGTTAAAATTTACTGTGTAGACTGATTATTAGTATTTTATATTGTAAAAAATATTAATAAACAAATGAATCTCATGTTTGAGGGCAAGTGTAAAGTTAAATTCTTTTCTTTTTGCTGTCCATATTTCTCTTAAACCAAACATGGTAGCCTGCTTAATTAAATCTTTTATAATTATGAAGGGCATTCAGTTACTAATGATCAGCATTGCCATTTCTAATAGAGGTGCTAGAGTCTTTGTGCATAGCTTGTAATTATGCTAACGAATGACTGTGGGCAGTGTTAATTAATTTACAGGAATATTAAACCTTCAGAATTCAATTAAGCAATCACTCAACAGTCCTGGATGAATGGTAGGTGCTTCAGGAGCAAAAGCAACTAATTAGAAACTACATGAAGGTGACAGGTAGTTTTTATGGTTTTTGCTTTTTCTGATATGAAGGATTCATACCTGGTTGAATATTTGTTGTTTTTGCAAGTTTTTAAGTGCATTATCTGCTTATTAGGTAAAATAAAGATGACCAGATATACGTGATTTTCCTAAATGAACTTAAACTAGTTTTGAACCTCTGTTTATGTTAAGCTTAGAAATTGTAGTTAGCAAAAATAACTTTGTTTTCTTTTTAATGAAGCTGAAGCCACTTTTTTTTTACCCTATGATGCATCCAAAGGCAATATGCCAAACTGATCACCCACAATTTTGTTGGATGTACTCACTATAACTTCTGCTCTGTTACTCTTCAGGCTGTCATTTAATGCAAATAATTTAAAAATATAACTAATGTGCATTTTTCTGTTTAATTATTTGTAAGTAAATCTTTTATTTTTCTCTCTTACCATCTTCATTCCATTATTATGATGGGACTTTGGTGCATTTTCCAATCATCAGCAGATCTTGGGAATTTACCTGATCTATACCTGATTTATTAATCAGAGATGGCCTTATTTTAAATTATTCTTATAAATTAGATTAAAGGTTGGCAGGCTTTGTTGGAAGCAGGCCAAGTTGGCATTGTTTATTTTTTTTGTTTGTCAGCCAAAAACAAACTGTATATATATATAAAACTAAGATAACATATTTAAAAATAAATGATTAAAAAACATGTTGAATAATATTTTCCATTATGAATAACTACAAACTCTAATACAACATTTTTAGCGGTAATATTAAAGGTAAATAATTAAGTAGAATTAAATTTTTTTTATGAGATAAAACCAAGTTAAACTTTGCTTTAAAATTTGTGCTCCTTTTCAAAATTGACTCTAAATGTCAAGAAAATTAGATCACTGTCATGCTAGATATTTTTTCTCTCCTGAATCTATCTTGCTTATTTATAAGTCTACCATTTGCTCATGCTTAGAATATTACTGCCACATATAGTCCAGTGTTCCTGCTATATATGTAGAGATCCTTGATGAAATCCAAAGAAGAATCAGCAATATTGTTGGTCCTGATCTGGTGTCTCAGCTTCAGTCACTTTCCCACTACCATAAAGTTGCTTTCCTGTGCCTTTTCTATAAATACTTTCATGGCAACTATTTGGATGAGCTCTTTGCTATGGTACCTAAACTTTTTGAATTTAAATGCAATACTAGGCTGGTGACAAGTTTTCACCAATTTACAGTTGAGTTGGCTAGATGTAACCATTGTGGAACTCTCTTCTAGCTCCATGCTTTTCAGCCAACTTTAATCTTCAAAAGTTTAAATGCAATATCAATTACTTTCTTGATTACTCTTCTTTTGTTCTTGCTCCTTAGTAAAGTTTCTATTTTCTTATTCTTTCACACCCAGTAACTCTTTGTGTCTTAGTGGCTTTACTGCCTTACTTGGAGTGAAATCAATTAAAAAAAATAAATAAATATTGATCAGTTAACACTGACCTATATACATAATTAGCAAATTTCACTTTTGAAAATGTCTTCTCATATAAATGCTGAAATTGTAGGACAGAAGATAAAAATCTTGAAAAAAGCTTGAATATCCTTCATCTTGAAGGCATTTCTAAAAAATAAATTCTTTCTCTCTTTGTGTACATCTTTCAGAGTATCATGCAGGTAGATTACTTTTAGTAGTAAATCTGATAGGAATTCCTCAATAATATGTAAGCAAAAGATATTTTATATGTAATGATATTAAAGGAATTTTTTGCTTTTCAGAATATGCTATTTGATCTGGTTTGCAGTTTGTGGTTTGCAAAATCCTGGACCAGATTATTTGATCAGTTTTTGTACTTGTTCATAAAATTTTTATACAGAGGCTGATTTAGGATTTCAGTGTCTGCTGTGGAAACAGGAAAATATTTAAAATTGTGTTTGTTAACTTTGTACTGTTGTTCTCTGTTAAGAGCCTGTATTAAATATCAGCAAACAATATTTTATCTGAGAGTTGTTTATTTTAATTTATTTAATTATTTATCTTTTACTTTTTACACATTTATATTGGATAATCTTTATCTTTTTCTGTACAATTTTAATTTGTATTTAAATTATTATTCTTCTTTCATAGAATTTGGTATCATCCTCGGTTGTCGTGTGTTTGTCAAAGAAATTATCAAACATAGTGTAGCTGCTGAACAAGGAGGTCTAAAAGTTGGGGATACAATTCTCAAAGTAAGCAAAGAAAAATTTCTTAAAAGTCCAGCATTGCTCAACATTCTAAGGCTACCTATGTAGATTTAATCACATACACAAAGAATATTAAATTTTTATATGGTTTTTAGAGGTCATGTCTGACTTATATTTTTGAGTGTTTGTTTCAGAATGTTATTTCAGAATGCAGATAAAATTATTTAAATTTATATTCAGCATTCAGAAGATTAAATTCAGTTTTAATATTTCTGACTTAATATATTTAAGATTGAGGTTTGGAACAAATCTTTCAGGGTTTTTTATTTTTATTTTGTTTTAACTTCATAAACTTTTATTGGCCTTAATCCTGTGATTAAAGAACTTGGCTGTTTTTGCCAGGAAGCTTTTGTAATTTTTAATACAAATATGTAACTTTGAATTTCTATTTCAGATAAATGCTTCCCCTGTGGATAATCTTTCGATTACTGAAGCAAAGAGGTTGATTGAGAAGACAAAAGACAAATTGCACTTGCTCATTACAAAGAAAAAATCTGACCCTGGTCGACATAAACGGCAGAACAGCCAACTCAAAGAGGACCCAGGTAAGCAGTCTGATTTGCTTGTCATAGATGGTAGTTTTTTGATTTCATTGTTTGCATAAATTTAGATCTTCTGACCATGGAAGATTATTGTTCATATAACAATTTGTCATAATAATATCTTTATAAAAAAAAAATTAACCTTTCAATGCTGAGTTGCTATTGTTTTTTAAGATTTTGTTTTCTTTTACTAGTATCTTCATCTACAATAGATGCAGGAGAGTAACTTTTAACAGCTCAATATATGTGATTGTCAAACTGAGTTCAAATTCCAGCTGAAACAGTTTGTATCCACTTTACACTAATACTTGTGAGAAAGGCATGAATGCATTTCTCCATTTTCAGCTATGGATTAAATAGCAGGACAGACTTGATTCTCTATCTTTGTTTGACAACCAATTTAGAAGGGCAACTCTGAGTTCAGAACTGGAGAAAATAACAGGAAACCTATTTTTTTCTAAGAATGATCATCAGTTTATCAATATGGAAGAAAAGGCAGTTGTAGGGAGCCATGAAAATACTTAATTTTAGTAATCTTCATCTTTGTTGTTATATATTTTTAGTCTTCTTTAGACGTATGTTGCATTTAGCAATCTTCCCAAGTTTTTTTTTTTTTTTTTATGCAGTTCTAAATTTTGTTTTTCACTTGGAACAAATAATTTCTTAATGAGGTTCTTTTAGCTTGTGTGGCCAAATTTTTTGTTCAGTCAAAAATGTGGAAGAACAACTTTGTACCAAATACAAATTTTGTCTGGAATAGTCATACCAGTGGGAATTTTTCAACTAATAAATAAGTATGTCAGTTCAAATAAACATTCCATTAGGAATTTTTATACAAGTTTAATAAATTGGAACAAAATAATCATGCCATAGAGTAAATTATTTTAAAAATAAGTATGCTATACCAAATAAGCTCTGTGCCAGGAGGAAAATTCAAGGAAATAATTTAATTGCCCTGATACTTGAAATTGGTACACAGGAGAATTTTGGCTAAGAGTGGTTGTATATTACTGGTGTAAGATTTGCTTTGTCAATATTAATTTGATTATTTATTCAAACCCCGTGTTCTAAATGTAAGGAGAAAGTTCCACTCAAATAGTTTTTTTTTTTTTTTTTTTTTTTTTGCATACTAATTTTGCAGAGTCAAATCACCTTTATTCCCCCCCATGTTCTAAATGTAAGGAGAAAGTTCATTCATTATATATCCTCCTTATCTTCATAGTTTTCACTTCCTACCACCTCTTCTATTCATATCACGCACCTCTTCCATTCATATCACGTACCTCTTCCATCATCACCATTTTGACTGTAACCCTCTCCTTTCTACAGCTCTCAAGACTTGTATGGGCAAAAATTATTTTTAAAAAATGGTAACAAGTATAATCTTTTGCTTTTGTTTATTGTGGCTGCAATATTTGTCTTTTACTAGATTATGGTACACGATATGGGATTTTGAAAAGATCTCATGAAAAGGATAACATTAATCTCTATCAACCTCTACAAAACCGAGGAATTAGTGAGGATGAGGCCAATGCCATGGTACCCGGAATGCATCGGATGCACCAATCACTCGTCGAATTACCTCTTGGTGGGTCTGGGTCAAGTGTGGCTGGCAGGGATCACCCTTCAGTCCCTTCACGCTATGACAGCAGATATATGTACAACCAGGAGCCACCTCCACCAAGGCCACCACTGCCCCCAGAACTGGAATCAGGTACATTGTTTCTTCTTCTAGAGGATTTTCTGTCTTTTTTTTATATTCAATAATGTTTAATGCATTACAATTGATTAACTTGAAAAGTTTCAGGAGTAAAGTATAAATTATTGTTATTTTCTTCCTTTTTTTTGCAAATTTTTTAATGATATCAGCTTTATTACTGAGAAGACGTTCATCTTTTATTTACCTAAAGCATTTCTACCACTCAGCATATAGAAGAGTGATGGTATATTTACTGATTTGGACTTCACCTAGCATAGTCTGATTAGATTGGGTGGCTATTGCAGATAAGATTAAAGATTATTAAAATGTAAAAGTATCTCAAATATGTAGTTCAAAATATATATATATATATATATAATATAATTTTTGAATAGATTTTAACATAAACATGTTATAAAATCACTACAAAAATAGGCATTTTGTTTCAACACTTTTGGTGTCTTACCATCACTTGATAAGACTGCAGAAGTGTTGAAACAAAATGCCTATTTTTGTAGTGATTTTATAACATGTTTATGTTATAATTTTTGAATAAATAATATTTGCTCTACTCCGTATTGAGCACTCTTTTAAGAATAGTATTTTTGGTTATGGGAATTTATTCCGTCTACACCAATCCTATACTTGGGTGTATATATATATATATATATATATATATATATATATATATGATTTAAATTTGGTTGAGAATCTGATGAAATGTTAAATATATAAGACAATTTGGAAAACTCAAATTTTAGCATGTTTTGCTGATCAAATAATAATGTCATCAGAAAAAATTTTATTTTGACCAAATCTATATTGGCAAGACAGAACATGATTTAGGTTAGTCATGAACATGGGAATTTTTTTTTTTTTGCTTTATTTTTGAGATTAGATTTTATTAATATCAATTGAATTTTTATTTAGATATTTATTTCTCTTAAGATTTTTTGTATACCACATTATATCAACACCAGCCTAGGAAGAACATTTGGTATATTAACTACAGGGTGTTCGTAGATCATGACACTTTCAGTGCATATTTGGGCTTCTTCAGCATATCACCTGTTCTTATTAAACTGGTGTTGAAACAATGTAGGATATAAAAAATCTTAATAATAAAAATTAAGTTGTTATTAAAAAAATCTAATCACACATACAATACAGTTAAGGTAATAAAAAAAAATCCAGCATTCATATGACTAACATAATTCACATTCTGTCTTGCCAATGTAGATTGGAAGCAAGGTGGAGTAATGGATACCAGCTCAGATTGAGGAATCAGAGAGCCTAGTTTGAATTCTAGTTGAATCCATTACATTCACTTATGTACTAATACCCTTGGGAAAGGTATGAGTCCCCTTCTTCTCCCCACCAGCTGTGGGTAAATAGCAGGATAGACTGGGTTCTATAGCCTTGAATGGCAGCTGATCTACCACAGAAAGAAATGGTAACATGCTGCAGGAAAAAATCTGCCTTGTATTGAAAGATACATGATCACCTAAGTGTGTATCATGTGTGGCACATAACTGACTGAATGTAGATTTGGTTGAAATAAATTTTTTTTCTGATGATGCTGTTTGACAAGCAAAATATGTCAAAATAAGTTTTCAAATTGTCTTATATATTTACCATATATAATTTTCTATTTCATAGATTTAAGAAACCAAATGGATATGCATACAATGAATTATATATTTGAACTTTTTCTGATCCATCACATTTTCCTATTCCAGACCTACCACCACGTCCCCCGACACCAAGCAAGGAATATTTACGCCCTGATGACTTCTATGGCCCATCAGTGGAACGTGATGGATTCTATAGTGATGTAGAAAGTCGTGGTCGTTTGCAAGAAAACCCATATGAACTGAGAGAAGACAGATATGGTACCTCCCCACGGCACCGCCATGATAACAGGCATGCAGAAGCTCTGGCAGAAGAACATTATGTTCGGCACAGCCCCAAAAATCGAAGGCAGTCATACACCAAGGGCCCTACTGAAAGTGAATCACATATGGATGCTGGTTTCAGTAGACCACATCCTGATGAGTAAGTTGTCGTCACTTACAACTGTTTAATTACTTGTTATTAATTTGAATTACACGAATTGTATTTTTCAAGATTATTACTAGCTTTTATTTTAAGTATTTGTGTTAATTAATTGTTTAGAAGACTATTATTTTTAGGGGAAGTGTATCTTGGCTCTGACTTCCAGAGGTCAGATGTGAGCCATAATAGGGAAGTCGATTTTGATTGGCTCAGCTAGCGTAGGATAGATAGGTAGGAGAAAAGTTTCACAGTTGCTTCTTACCCATCAAGCGATGTAGACATGTTCTCTTTCGTATCCGAAATGGTTCCCCAGTGAGGGGAGGGTGACCTCCAACTGGATAGATAATTACATGTTGACTAATAAAAATAATTAAGTTAAAGTTCTCTGTGTTTGAAGTCTTTCATTGCTGAACCAAAACAATTAGTGATTGCCAGCTGAGAGAAGACAAGATGTGACCATCCCCACCAGGGCTCTATGCAACATTTGCTCTAATTTTAACTGCACTTTTAAAGTGAATATTTCAATAATTTTTTTATTATTGATCATTGTGTATTGACAAAGTAAAGAATCCATGTTCACTTTGAATTCCTTCCTTATAGTTTGATATTGACTAACTTTCATGTCCTTAAAATTTCAATGATAAAAAAGAGACTTAATTTTAAATTGTTTTTCCTTTGAATCTTCAGTTAAAATTTGGCAATGACTCTTTAAGTTTTAACACCTCTTTCATGCATGCACATACAAATATGTATGTTGCCAGTTTCCCCACTAAAAATCTTTTACTGATTCAAACTCTAGACTTTACCGATTAATAGGAAAACAATATCTGCAATCAGGTTTGAATTAATTCATTTCATACTTATTAGATTGTATCCTCTACCATAAACTTGACACAAGATTCCTTGATTGGATGAAAGTCTGAATGGAATTACATCATTGGAAGATTCATATCCCAAAATGCAACAGGTTTTAATTCGATTATTTAATCTAAATTGTTTTAATATGAGACTGATTGTTTTAGCATTTCTTTCTTCATTTTTGAATCAATAAGGAATAGAAATATATTACTAGCCTTTGTTTTAATATACATAGTTAACAGACTATATTTTTTTTTCAATATGTGGTGTTGTGCATAATTCAGATCAGCCATTAAAATTGTGGCTAGGATTTTGTTTTTCTTTCTGCTATATTTTAAGTTAGCTTCTTTTTATTGATTCCTATATTGAATAATTTAGAACTACATTTAGAACCAACAATAAACATATTTTCCTTATGTTTTTTAGCCGTTACATCGAGAAAAGGCACAATGTCAGGTGAGTCTAAGATTTTATGTAAAATTAATTTAGGTTGGTTCTCTTCATCTCAAAGATGGACTGGACAGAAATTTTGTTAATTTGAATATATTCATTCATTATAGAACTGATTCAAGATGTGTGAGCTTTCGAAAGGACCCTGAAGTTGGGCTTGGTCTACGACTTGCTGGGGGAAATGCCACTGGAATATTTATTGCTTCAGTTCATCCTGGGAGTGGGGCTGAAAAAGAAGGTCTTGTAGAAGGTGACCAAATACTAAAGGTTAGTAAATTTTACTTTTCTTTTTAATAAGTGGTCTTAAGATTACTGACATTATACTGTAGCTGCTACTAATGTCTTGTTTTTTAAATATATAAAATAACATTTGATAAACTTAGAGCCTTTCTTGTATCTTAACAAATCTCATCACTATGTATGTGTAACAGTGTATGAAGTTTTTGGTAGAATGTAATCAAACATTGTTTATTGGTGCTGTTTAAAACGTGTAAATGATTTTTTAGATCAATTTTTTTATAACTGATCATGAGTTTCCATTTATCAACTTCAAACTGCTTTGATATTTTTATGGATTTTTTTTCTACAACTTATATTGAAAAATGCCTTGTAATTGGCAGAGCTGAAGAAGAAGAAAAACCCAGCAATATAAACTATTAAATAACAAAATGGACTCACTTTAAAAAATTGAAGAAAAACCTAAAATAGAGTTGAATGACTAATTTTTATCTTGTGTATAGAACTCAATGATAGACCTTTTTCCTAAAATGAGGGAAAATATCTTTGGAGTGCAATAATGTAGATGGTAATTTTTAGAAAAAAGTCATCAGTTTGTGTGTTTTTATTGGGTATGAAAAAATTATCCATGAAAGTTTAAGCACATATTTATATAACTTAAATGAACTATTTTATTTTATTACTATTAGTATATATACTAATAAAAAAAAAACCCAAAACATGCATTTTATTCATGTATATTTATTATTAGTATAAATTTTAACTTTGTTATTATACATCAAGCACTGTTTTATTATCACCAACACTTGCTGTACTTGATATATATATATATATATATATATATATATATATATATATATATATATATATTATAATAATGAGTCTGACTATTGATATATCTGAAATTTCATAAGTTAGCATATATCATGGTGAATAGAATTTCTACTAATAAAGTGCTTGATATTTAACTAGAGCAGTAATTTTTTAATCAAAAATAATAAAGTTCAATAATTATTGATGTAATGACTCATCAGGTCTTAAGTAGTGATGAGAGAGAAATTACAAAAAAATCAAATTGACATCAATAAGTATTGAACACACACACACACACGCACACATTATTTGATTGTGTTGTTTGTTACTACTTTCTATTTTGTTTCTGATTCATTTTGTTCAAGGTAAATGATGTAGAAATTACTGGGATGACTAGAGAAGAGGCAGTTACATATTTGCTTGGTGTTGAGGGACAAGTCACCATTTGTGTACAGCACCGAAAAGATGGTAAGTGTCAAAGTTTTTTGTCAGAATTTTGTGACTTTTGTATAGAAAAAAGAAAAAAAAATCAAATCACAAAAAGAAAAGAAAATCTGTAAAGTGAAAATTGTCACTTATTCTATATTTTATATTTCATATCTCTTCTAATATTTCTGTTGTGGAATATGTTAGATTTGAACCCTCTTGGTCTCTGACCACTTTAATTCTAAGACATGATATTGCTTAAACAAAATTGCTCTCTATCGGTGATCTGAGAGAACCCTTTCTGTCATCAGTCAGCATGGCTGATGCTAACCTCTAGGAGAGTGACTGATTGCACCTTCTCAGGCTAACATTTTCCACTGATATGGAATGAAAAGATTATATTGAATCAGTTGCTAGGTCTGCTGTTAGGAAAGTTGGTTCACTCTGTTGTGTTAGACAATTTTTTTTCTCCAGAATCAATCTTACAAATTTATAAGTCTACCATTTGTCCATGTATTGAATATTGTTGCCACATTTGATCTGGTGCTCCTGCTATACATTTAGGGAGTCTTAATAAAATCCAAAGAATTTACAATGTTATTGATCCTGGCCTGGTATCTCACCTTCTGTCACTTCCCCATCCCTGTAATGTAGCTTCCTTGTGCCTTTTTTTTATAAATACTTTCATGGTAATTGTTCTAACAAACATTCCTCTATGGTACCTAGATTTTATGAATTTAAGCACAGTACTAAATTGGCAGTAAGATCTCATCATTTTACATTTGAAATGGCTGCTAGATCTAACCATAAGTTCTATGCTGACAATTTCTTCTAGCACACTTCTTGCTTGTCGAATTCTCTTCTGGCTTCAAGCTTCCCAGTGAACTTTGATCTCCAAAAATTTAAACTCAATCATTATCTTCTGTCTTTTTAATTTTTGGTTCTTTTATTATTCTCTATCCTTAATAGAATTTTTTCTTTTTCTTTTCATATATTCTCTAACATTCAGTAGCCCCTTGCATCTTAGTGGCTTTATTGCCTTGTTTGGGGTGAAATGATTTTTAAAAAAAATGAAAGAATATGGTTGAGATTTAAAAACTCAGTCTAATTAAAAACTTCTTGCTTAATTAAAATTTGAAATTTTTTTAGAATTTGTTTGGCACTGTATAACTTTGTAAAAGTGAACCATAATTTTTTATTTCCTCAAAGTAAAAATGTGAATAAATACTGATGCTACTTCTTGATATTTCATCAATGGGGAATTTTACAGAATCTATTTTGTCTGTTCAAATAAAAATAGTAAGGGAAGTTATAGCTATTAGACCTTATATAAGTTTATTTTAAATTTCAATGAAGCATTAGAAAGATTAATTTAAGTTTTAATAATCATTATAATTGAATTAAAATTATTTTGTGATTGTGTCTTTAGGTTACAAAACTTTTAGAGGCTATTTTTAAGCTGTTAAAAGTTTTCTGCCAAAAAAAATTGCTTTTAAAATTTATATTTTTATTATTCTCCTTTGGAAAAATTGCTATTTTAGATAAATGTTTTGTACATGTAACATTAGCAATGCATTTTTTTTTTTGTTTGCCAAAAGAAATAATTGCCTTTTAAGAATCATTTATTCTTTCTGCTTTTATAATAATTAGATTTTTGTTTTCATTTTTTAAATCTGACACTATGCAGTTGATTTGTCTTAATTACTTTTATTTTTATTTGGTTTCTAACTTGTTTTGTTGAAAGTAAATGTTTTCTTTTCAGAGTACGATTTAATAATGGCTAGTCATGAAGCTGGAGATTCCTTTTATGTGAAGTAAGTGTCTTATACCTTTCTCAACAGACATCCCGCTCCATAGTATTAACTTTATTTTTTTTTTTTTTTTTTTTTTAAATCAGTTGCATAAATGGTATCACTTTTTTTATTAGCATAGGCTTTGAACAATCCAGAATAACTTTAATTTTCCTAAAATCTAATTTAATTTTTTGACAATAAAGTATGATAAAATATAGTGTCATTAGGCTAAAACTAAAATTGTACTTTTCCTCAAAGCCTTTACTGTACAATTTTGTATAAACAAAATGTGTTTAGTATGTAATTTATATTTTGTATGTATATATATATATATATATATATATATATATATATATACACACACACACATACTGAGTTTTCAGTTTTAGAATTTGGTATTGGCTATAAAAATTAATTTAATTTTCTTGAAAGTTTGCAGAAATTTTAAGAGTTTCATTATTTTTTTTCTACAAACTGTGAAGATTACTAAAAATGAAAGTGCACAAAAAGCTTAAAATGGAATTGGCAAAATAAGTTCAAATTCCAACTGAAACAGTTTGTCACTTTGTATTGTTGCCCTTAGGAAAGGTATGACTCCATTACTTATTCCCTCAGCTCCCGGTTAAGGACACAGTGGCCTCTCTAGTCTTGATTGTCAGTTAGTCTATGAGAGAGACAACTCAGAAGAACTACAAGAAAGCCTACAAGAAATCATTTTGCTATCTTTCTCTAAAGCAAACATGGGAATATATAGTTTACAGACATTCATCAAAAATGATCCCCTATTCCCTGAAGGGACATTTAAAAATATATACTGTATATTTCCGCATATATGGTGATTTTAGGTAAGACAATGTCAAAAAAATATAGCAAATTTTCATGAATTTATCATATACTTGTAGTATATAATGACTGCTTATTGATTATATAAAGATGTTACTGGAAATGTTGTAACTTGCTGTATCCTTAGAAATTCAAAATAAAAGAAATAACAAAATGGATTCTATATCATGTTTTTCCTCCATGCATCTCCTATAAATCCATTAGTGAGTCCTGCTATTGGAAGGTCAGTAGTTCTCATGTAAGTCTGAGTCGTACTCAACAGATCCCAGCTAGACTTTGTAGTCTGTTGACTTACCACTACTTATAGGTAGTTACTACCTATAGTGTAGTTACTCATGGGGATGACAGGTTATTTCATTACATCACTTATAATGAACTGTCCATATTCACTTTGTATTTCCAACTTGCTTGTTGAAGAATTGCATCTTTTAGATTTGAAATGAACTATATATTTGTACTCATTCACTGTTTGCAGTTTTTTAAAAATAAAATGTCCAATTTCTGTATCTTATATTTTTGAGACAAGTATCTTTGTTTTCATTGGAAACCATATTGATTAAAGTTTCAGAAAATATAATGTGATAGGAGACAAGCTAAATAATTTATTCTTTTAATTTGTTTACTTGCAGGACCCACTATGCTTACGAACAGAGTGAATCTTCTGAGTTGTCTTTTGCTCGTGGCGATATTTTGCGCATTAAAGATACTCTTTATGGTGGTCTCAGTGGCTCATGGCTGGCCATCAGAATCGGTAAGAAGAATGAGGAGCTGCAAAAAGGGATCATCCCCAACAGCAGCCGGTAAGTTGGATTTTCTTGAGAATATGATGTTGAGGAGTTTTTAAGACATTTTCCTTACTTTTACACACTTGATTTGTTCTTGTGATATTTAATGAACAAATGTCTTTACTGGAAAAGTGATGCTACCAAATCTAAATTATTAAAAGTTACAGATGCTTTTTACTGTTGACTTGTTTTTATTTTTCCTAAATGCATAAAACTGATTAATCGCAATAGGAACTTAATATGCAAGATTTACTTAATGTTGACATGCTCCTTTACACTCAAGTTGTATTGATTAATCTTTTGATAATCAGTAATTGATCATATCAGCATTTGCCAATTAATCAGTCATTAGCCTTTTTTTTTTTTTTTTTCTGATTAATCGGGTTTTCTTACATGGCCATCTTTATTTATGAAATCACAGAAGTTTCATCTCTTGCTTAAGAATCATCCGGCATTTTTACATTTTAGATATGCAAAGTTGCCAAGCTATTGAAGCATTTCTGAGGATGGGTTATTTTATTTTTTTTTTAAGTTATTTTTTTAATTATGGAAAGATTTCTTGATGTCATTTCTCTTCAATTAAATCCAAAGGAAAGTAAAATGGCTTCAATCTTTTGGCAATATTTTTTCATGCTTTAAATGATTCAACTATCAACCAATAAATGAGTTCAAAGCCTACTTTACAGAAACAAAATGTTTTAAGAGCCAACGTGTGAAAACTAAAAACATCAACAAAGTTCATTTTTCACTGAGTACAAAATTGATGTGCAAAAAAAAAACAAAACAGAAAAAAGTCAATTTTTTTTGGTTTGTGTTTTTTTTTTCTCACAAATTAAAGTTAGATTGAAACAAATTCACAAACTTTAGATGCACAGAATTAATTTTATTTAAAAAGAAACAATATCATAAAAGATTTAGAAACTAATAAAAATTTTTTTTAGTAAGAATTGATGAGAATGATATATTAGTGGTAAACTAATTGTAATGTACATATTTCTAATTTAGTCCCAGTCTTGTTACCTTAATTTTTTTCTTATATAATAGAATGTCAAATATGAATCTCTGCAAGTAATTATTTATTTTTAATCTGTTTTAAATAAAAAAAAAAAAAAAAATTTTCCTACCATTGTAATCTTGCATATTGTAAAATGTTCATTTTCTGGGTAACATATTTGCACTTTATTTAAAATGTTAACAAATATAAATTTTAAGAAACAGTTTCTGTTTGTAGAATTTTCATATTACATTATACCTAATAAATCTTTGCAAAGAAGTTTATTTAAAATTATGTATCTGTATTTTCTCATTTTTCACTCAAAAATTTTATCAAGATATGCAGTAAAAAGTAATGTATTTTTGTTTTGTCAGAATTGGATCTAATTATCAAGGTTCTAAAGATTAATATTGGTTTTTATTTTTCCCTCAACAGAGCTGAACAAATAGCATTAAACCAACAACAATCCTTAAATGACAAAGAAAATGCATTTAACAAACACAAGACTACAAGTCTGTTTCGAAGAAAGTCTGCTCGTCGTGCCAAAACCTTAGGAAGAGACCACTGGGATGATGTCATCTTCTGTAAGTAAATTATCTACATTTTTATGCTCTTATTGAAATCTTTGTATAAACATTAATCTTTGGTTATTTTGTACAGTTTTAAAATAAAGGTACATTGAATAAATAGAAAAGCAATACCAGTTATGTAAAGAGTAATGATAAAAAGAAATAACAAAAAAAAAACTTTCATTTTTTTTTTTTACATAGATTTTAAATATAGTGAAATAATCTACAAACTTAAGATTCTCAAAGGTTTTAATTGTTAAATTGTTATATACCATACCTATGAACACTAATGGGTATCTCCCAATTCTCATAAATACATTGGACACTATTGCAAGTGGGGGTAATATGCTGTCTAAGTAGTCCACCACTAGCAGTGGTTTACCTATTTCATGCTGCTGGCGAGTATTGTATTTTGTTGATGTTATAAAGATTACCATTTCCAACCTCTGTTTTGGTTATTCCTCATTCAGTAACCCTTTCAAGGTTACAACACAAATAATAGTGAATAATTTATTACTATTCTTTGTCAAGCTGGGTTAGCCTTAATTTATATACCTTGTGTGAAGTAACAGAAAAATGAAAACTCTTCCGTGACCATGTAGTCACTTAATGCAGAGTAACATTTATAGGCTTGTTAATATCTTGTAGATTCATTTAATTGATTGGCTTAGAATTAGTTGCATAATATTGATTTATACAAAACATAATCTCATACTGACATTTAATCTCAATATTTTAATTACCTTTAATCTAGCAGTAATGTTTTGTAGCATCCTCACCTCCATAACAAATGACCGATATTAAGATAAACATTTGTTTCTAGTCCATCAAGGTAAATTTGGGACAAAGTTTAACAAACTTGTCAGCAAAAAAACAGTGGGTTAAAAGATGGCTTTTCTCTTGGCAACATTATTATCGTATTCTCCCTCAGCAATTTTTATTGTTTTAAAAGATTTTTAGAATTTTAATATAACTCAAACATATGAAACTGAACTTATGCATTTGCTTTTATTCTCAAGAATTGGCAACAAAAGAATTAAATACCATTTATTTAATAGATTATTTATTTACAAAAATAATTTTATATTGACAAGATTATAAGAATATGTGAACCAAATACACTGCAATATTTATTATTTATCATATTATAAAGAAATAGTTATGAAAATGAGTGTTTTATTCATAAATTTATGAAAATGTCTGAACAAGAGAACAAGCAAATTTAATAAAAAAAATAACAATAAGTGCAATTATAAATTTTGAAAAAATGCATTTTCCAGCCATTTCTTTCATTTGCTCTTGCCACATAAATTCACTATAATAGGTTGAGAGCATCAGAATTTGTACATGTTTTTTGTACAGAAATGTCAAACACAATCAATTGTTTAAAATATTATTTTGGCAAAGTTTAACAAATGTATCCATGAAACAATGGATTATACAGTAATAGCAGTGTCAAAAGAAAAAAAATGACCTTTTGAGACAGTTTTGTTGTCGGTACATTTGTTAAATGTTTGCTAAATTTTAATATTTTTAAAATATCTTTTTTTTTTTTTTTTTTTTTGTTAAGTGGTCAGTTGAAATGAACTTTGCAGGTAAATTTCAGGTATATTTCTCAAAATAATTGGAATATCTTCCCTGATTGAGCTTCCAAACCTTCTGTTGTATTGGATTTCAGCATAAGGTTATTTTTTTTTTTGTCCTTCCTTTTATTTGGAGACATTAACTGTTTGATTCCAGTTGCTGTGTGAAAATGCATATACCATACTCATCAAGAGGTCAGGATTCAAAGGAAAGAAAGGGTTAAGCGATTTTTATGTATTCCATATATTTGGCAATTTCCATTTAATTTGTGGGGGGAAAAGATTGTTATATTTCCATTGTTTCCCCAAGGAAATGGAAAATACACAAGGTAAAAGGTGGTTTTTACTTTGATTTATGTAAATATATTTGTTTTAATAAAGAAAACTCTAATTTTTGTAGGATGTGTTCAGAAAAACCCTTTTGAAAGTTTAAAAATATATATCTTGTAATTAACAATGCTTAGTGTACATCTTAAAACTTGTTACAAGTTTTTATCATCTTTTTAATTAAAAAAAAATTTTTTTCTATTTAGTGTAATAAACAAAAATTGAGACTTCCACTATTTTTTTAAAACTCAATAAAAAGTCATATTAGTTGCATGTAAGAGTTTAAAGTTACAAAAAAATCAAGTATGATTTTAATTTAAGTAATGTTATTTAAAATAAAATATAGTTTCAAACAATTAATGGTTATACATCAAAAGTGTTCAGGCCACTTTTATTAATTTTGAATAAAATGCCTCTTACATAAATATACAGATGCTTATGAATGATCATCCTAGAATTTTCTATGCTAAATTTAGAACTCAGAGCGTGAACAATTTCCAAATCAAATTACTTGATATGTGTATTAATAATTCACAAGGGTTTAATTTTATTTTCCCAAATTTATGGATTTCATTTCCTAGTTTGTATGTTCAATATATTAAAAAACATTTCTTTCATTTAATTTGGTTTGTATATTGAAATTATTGACCAGCTGTCAATTATGATTATACACTACTTTGCTTAAACTAGAGTCCTTATATTGGTCATTATCATCATGTTCTTGCTGTTACACCTGCATGGATTGAATAAAGAGCTTTATTCAAAATTCCTAGAAGGTTAACAACTATGACATACACCTGAAAAAGGTCAGGTTACAATGGCCAAAATGTTTGTGATGATAATAACCAAGATATGGACAATGGTCTGTTTATGATGATTATTATTATTATTATTACTCAAAAATTCAAACAAAAAGCTAGCAATTTTATTTTTTGCTTTTTTTAATCTAATCAAAATATTTCAATTGAATATATTGCACAAAGGCCCTATATTATCATGACAAGCCTTTTATTAGAAAATACCAACTTACCTCCCAAAAAGTAGAAATTTGGACAATTTTTCTTTCAATGATTGAGAAACAGCAGAACTAATTTATAGAAACTTTTAAGATATTTATTTTAACAAGTATCATTTAGATGTACTTGTTGATGTTGATAAGAAAATTTGTATTAAAACAATGTCAAAGAAATTAATATTGTTGTAAGATGGTTACTATCATTGGCTTATTTAATTTTCATTGGTAAAATGTTTTTACTGATCCTTGTCTCAGAAAATAAATATATATATATATATATATATATAATTGATTTTGTGCTTGCGATAAATGTTTTGAATTCCTTTCTTTCCATTTTCTTTTTAGCAAATGAAGGTGGTAAGTGTTTGTCACACACTGTTTGCTTGTTAAGGATAATCACTTTTGAATGGACTTGATTTGTGTAATATTTGCAGTGTTTGTTTCTGCTTCCATATCTCATAATTATTACTCTATTATTTCTTTCTTTGAGGAACAAAATTTGCAATACACAATTATAGCAGCCAATCTTTAAGCATTATTATTCTATGCCTTGTCTTATTAGCTTGTATCAAGATGCTTTAAAGATGACTATTAAGGTTTTATTTGCTTTGCTGATTAGTTTTGTTTGGTTCTTATATAATGCAGAAGTTAAATTTGAATAGAAAAAGATTTCAAATAGATGGTAAATTTATTTCTATCATCTTAAGGCACAAAACCATATTTAGCTTGTTACTTGTGAACACCAATAATTAAAATCTAATATTCTTTGCAATATTGAATATGAAATATGTATATTTTAATCTTTTTAACAGTATTTATATATCTGCTTAATACAGGGAAAATTTCAAACCAAATTTAAACAGTTCAGAGCAAAAGAAAAGAATTAACCATTTTCTAATCATCTTTTATATACAAAATAAAAACAATATCTATTTTATGAATTATTCTTGTAAATTACTGTATAAAAATGGAAATATTATGTCTAAAAACTTTAATAAAGTGATTAAGGTAAATGTTTTTGTGATGATTGAAAAATTTCAAGTTCCTTTCTATCTGCATAAAAGGATTATTCAATTTGCCAAGCTACAATTCAGTTAAATTTCATCCTTGAAAAAATGCTCTTAATATGCTTTAATTTAAAAAAACAAAACAAAAATAAGATTAAAACTAAAGGAATGTGTAGGATAATAATTATGAATAACTCAAAAGATTTCCCCTCTTACACTGAACATAACATAATAAAATTTTACTAGATTGGAATTTCTGTAATATTTCTCTTATGTTAGGCAGAAGACTTAGATTGAAAATGTCCTTGGTTTCAATGTAAGGAATGGGTAGGAGGGGATGTTATTTCTCCAACAAATCCACTTTCCCCATATTCCTTAAATGCATTAAATATCTTCCAATGTTTTCCACTTTAGTGGAAAGAGATCACAGAATATTTTAAAATGTAACTGTTTATCAAATATTTATTTTTAGGAGTTTAAAAATTTTGAACAAATTACCTTTTTTTTTTTTTTTAGTCTCTCAGCACTTTATAATTCAATTTGAAACATGTAAATGAATTATTTTGAAAAATTGGGGCATTTTTTACATTTTAGATATGCAAAGTTGCCAAGCTATTGAAGCATTTCTGAGGATGGGTTATTTTTTTAATTATGGAAAGATTTCTTGATGTCATTTCTCTTCAATTAAATCCAAAGGAAAGTAAAATGGCTTCAATCTTTTGGCAATATTTTTTCATGCTTTAAATGATTCATTTAATTTTCTAGGTAATTGGATTAGGAAGATTTCTTTTTTCATTGTATAACAATATCTTAAATTTACTGAATATATTAAGAATATTTCATCTAAATCTTTTGTCAGAAAAATAAGCACTATTTACATTATTTGGACTGTTGTCCTCATCTTTGTTGGCATATTACAATGTTTCAGCCGTTGTATGCTCCAGCCTTCTTCAGGTGATTGGGATGTCGAACTGAACCCTTTATTTCGCTCACTGGGGTAGACTGTGCTAGTTCCACGTGCCATGTTTAATGGATCTCAGTTATCAGTTATCTCCTGTTAATTCCCCTCTCCAACTTTTCCACTGCCTTAACCGGGTATTGAACTCACTCTTTGGGTCTTGTCACTGGATCTAACCAACGCCTTTTTCCACTGTGCCATGAAAAATAAAAAAATAAGCATAATAAATATATTTACTATATTATTAGAGTTCTCTCCAATGGTTCACTGTACTTTTGCTATTTAAGTTTTTAAAAAAATTAGTTTCATGGAAAAGGAATTTTATATCCAAGTTTTGTTTAGTGATTGCCTTTATAAAGTTTATTTTTCAAAGCACAAGTTACCAAGAGTAACAATGATTTCTGTTTACTTAGTATTGATAACTAGGTTATAGGCTCTTCCAATCTTTGTTCCCTATTACTGGCCCACAGTTAATAGGGAAATCGAAAATACACATTACATTATTACAGTATTTTCATTATATATTCCTATTTATTAATCAATACAAAATAGACCTTTTTCACTATTGATGTCTCTCAAAACTGTTCATATACAAACTTCCTAATTAAAAGATACTTGGAAATGTTTTTGTTGCATTTTCTCAACTTTTGCTCAATAAATAATTTAATGTTACAGGGAAACATACTCTAGCTTTAATTCATTAGTTTAAAGACAATTTATCCCTCTTGAGGTCTAACATTCTCCATCTTATTTCTCTGTACGATAGTGGTTGCTTTGTTGTGGAACTGGAATTTGATTTGTTGCTTGACAAATTTTGCCCTTTCCGTTTTTTTTTGCCTGCACTTAACATATTTTTTTAACCTTCTTTGTTACTTTTCTGTTTTTCTAAATATTTTAAAGATATTCTTTCCAAAAAATTCAACATGGAACTTTGCTTAACATTAATTAAATCTTGTGTTGAACTTCAGAAGTACAGAGTTTGTCATGACAATGGATATACTATAAGTGAGAGCAAATTTAAAAAGCACACAAACATGAGGGAAATGTAAATATGCAATCAACTGAATAATTCCCACTTTATATATAATTATTTTTAATTATGGCTATTTTGAATTTTAGATAGTTATCTTGGAAGAAAGGATTTTTTTAATTTATTTTTTACCTTGGTTTAAATTGATTAAGTTGCCTTCTAGGTAATTAATAATATGCACCAAAGATGGAATCACAGATCCCCTACCTGCCATTCCTATACTTTGCCCTAAGCCATATTCCCAAGTGCATTTTTATTGCAATCTAATTGCATCTTCTGAGAACTAAAACTCATGATTTCTTTTTTAGGATGACATACAAAAGATGGTTGCACGTATTTGCCAATATTTTTTTTTTTTTTTTTTTTTTGCAATCAAGGAGTTATAGATTTACTTTTTTTTTTATTTACTGGTTTATCTGTGCCATTAAAATAATGATAGAAATACTTAAGTAATTTTGCAATTGCATCAGTAATCTAAGTTTTTACAATTCACTCTATTGTCACATACAAGAAATAATTCTGCTTTTTAGATTGTTAAAAAAATATCAAAATAGCATTAACACAAAATATAATTAAATAAAAAAAAAATAATACAAGGCTAACAACCTCCCATACTTACAAATGAGATATTTTGGTTTTATGGAACATGAGGCATGTTCCCATAACAATGGAATCTCTCATTACTAAGAAGGGAAAATCAGGCTGTTACATTGTTCTCTATATTGTTGAACAGATATTCTTGTTTACAATTTATTGTAAAAAATCTTTTTAAATCATTAAAAGTACAAATATCCAAAGAACACTAACACTAAACAAAATAAATTAATAACAATATATCAGTAACCTGTTCTTGTTATTTACAAATAAGATTTTCTCTCATGTTAACATGAGAAATGCTTGCTTACTGAGATTGAATAATACCTCTTGTTATCATAACAATACACTATCTCATTAGTAAATAGAGAAGATTAGGTGGCATGACCAATAAAGTGACATTTTGCTTTATATTACAGATTACATAATTTAATGGATTGATTTATTTATAACTTTGTAATCTTAGAACTGTTCACTTGGTGTACTATTTACTCATAGGCAGGTGAAGCACATATAAAGACATTTAGATTTTAGTATTAAAGTATTTTTAAAAATTGTTTCTTACTATAGGTATTTTTTATAAATACTTGTGAATAATTTTTTTTAAAAATCAGTGATTGTCAACTCTTTTGGAGACTTCAAGATTTAAAAAAAAGAAAGAATTTTCCTTGCTGTTTACATTTTACTAAATATAGTCCAAGAGAAATCAGTTTTATAAGACTTAATTTACCTGTCTCTCTTTTTTGGTGGCCTGTACATGCCACCAAGGACATATTTCATATTTTTACACATTTCTATCGTGCAAATATTTTCTCTTTTCTATGCCAGTGCATTGTTTTGTGTATAAATCTTCCTTATGGTGGATTTTGCAAGTATGCAATTGTATTTGCCTTTTAAGAGGCATGGATTTAGTTATATGCTATATTATGTTAAGAATTGGTGTTTTACTTTTTTTTTAACATGATTGAAATTTCGACTAGATTAGAATTTTTATTTTTGAAAAAAAAAAAAAAGAAATAGTAATTGTTTAAGGATGTACATAAAATCAGTTTAACCCTTAACTCATCAGCGTTGTTTTAAGAGGGCATAAGTTGTCATATGCCCCTTTTTGCATGTTTTTTTTTCCATTTTGAAATGAACAAACTCATCTTCGTAAGAATGACAGACAATATTCTGACACAATATTTACTTTAAACTTTTATGAGGTTAGGCCACAATTTAAAAAAAAATTATCTGTAATTCAGTAAAAGAAAAAAAAAACAAATAGAATTCAGTTTCTCATTCTATATTTGGTATTGTGTGAATTGTGCATGTCATCCTGAATGGATTATTTTTTCTGTTGCATTTGATATATACTTACCCATACTAGAAAATAAATTGTTGTTGACATATTTATATAGAATTATTGAAACTATGCTGATTCCTTATTTTTAAAAGCCTGTAGTAGAAGAAAAGTGTATTATTACACATTTCTGTTTATTGGCATGTTTGAATGTTGGCATGTTTGTTCTTGTTGCAGTTTTTGTCTCTTTTTTTTTTTTTTTTTTTTTTTTTTTAATTTTAAGATTTTTTTTTTTTGTTGGAAATGTTTCAATTTGAATTTTTTAAAATATTTCTATTTAATGTTAAGGGTTTCAATGAAAATACTTTTTATTTGTTATTTAGTCATTTATATTTGATAATGCTTCATAATTAAAACATGTCTGAAGGTTTCAAGAGTTATCTTTACCATCATGCAAAAATATTTTTTAAAATCTGTAGCATAATTTAATATCTGAAAGTATTCTTTAAAATTATATCTTATTTCAAGAACACTTTATTACAGTATAGAAATAAACATATCCTAATATTTTCCAACTCTCTACAGAGATAACAGTTGGTTTTTCCTTTTTAAAATGTCTTTATTTTTAAACTGTTATAAAAGACAAAATCAATAATGCTGTCAAATTTTAAATGAAATTTATATATAAGAGGCATAAGTTAACATTCAATTGAAAGATTTTTATATTGTTTTCTGGAAATTTTCTAATTAAAAAAAAAAATTTAATCTCTTTTGTCTGGGAACAATATTTTTGAAGAAAAAAAATGTGTTTAACTTTTCCTCATTTTTTTTTTAGTCAGGCATAAAGGTCAAATAGGAATAAGAATCTAATATAAGAATATTATATAATTAGAAATTGGTAAAGGAATTATCATGAACTAGACTCTCCTCATCTATCTTTTGTCTGGGGCTTTTACATAAAAATTCTTTAAAAAAAAATATTTCCTCTAATTGAATAAATTAAATGAAACTTTTCAGTTACTAATTTTTGATTAGTTTCTTTTTCTCAAAAATTTTGAAATGTTTTTTTTTTCTTCTTTTTTTGCAGTTAATCATAGCACCAAATTCCCTGCTTATGAGAGAGTTGTTTTAGCTGATGGTATGCAGAAAAAAAATTCAATATTTCTTTTTTTTTTTTTTTTTATCTGACTTGATTTATTTGCTCCTAAAGGAATAACAAATTAGTCTTTTTATAAAATTTTGTTAAATCTAGTGACTTTTACCAATTATTAGGCTCAGTTTCTTAATATATGAATCAGAAATTAATTTCTCAAAATTTCAACTAAAAGAATATTTTAAATTTCTTTCATGCAATAGTTTCCTTAATCAATTTTAAATAAGGAAAAACTTAGTAGTTTAAAATAATTTTGGTATTTTTTTATATTAATTCCAATTTGCATAAACTGGTATTACTTAGTGTCCTCACAGACTTCTGAAATTTTTAAATTTTGGAGTAATTTAAATAAATTCTTTAAATTTTGAATTTGCATGAAGTTTATAAAAAACAGTTTAAGTACATAAAAGTATTTTTATAACACTTTATTTTATTACAATTAACATTTTTAAAAAGATTTTAATGATTTAAGTAAATTTTTAAAAATAAAAAAATATTTATGCTTAACATTGGGACTTTCTTACAAATCAAGTCAGATATCAAACTGAATCAATTTTATGACTTTACCATTTCAGGAGGATATGTTCGGCCTGTTGTTATATTTGGAGCTGTTGCAGATATTGCTAAAGACCGTCTTCTGCAGGACTTACCTGAGAAATTTGATTCACCACGTGAGTTTACTTCAATACATTTTTCAGCAAGGATTAGATGCTGGCTGTTAGTCTTTGCTCACTGAGATGAGGGGAGATTTTCTATCAAATTGGGGGATGAGACATATGACTAAATATTTTTTTTTTTTTAATAACTCTTCTTGGTCAAGCCAGGAACTTTTCAGCACCCACTTGTAAGTGAATACTAAGGGAAGGTTATAACATGTTTGGTTAGGAGTGGGTAGAATTATAAAAAAATTATAAAAAACCCAAAGACAAAATTAAGCCTGTGTGAGTAGTGTAACATTTATCAAGTGGAATTAGCAAGCTGAGTTCAAATTCTGATCTAGTCAATGGCATTCACTTTTACACGAATACCCTTAAGAAAGACATGAATCCATGTCTTCATTCTCTAGTTATGGGTTAAATAGTAGGGCAGACAGGGTTCTTGAGTCTTGGGTGGCAACCAGTCTAAGAAATGGAAAATTCTGAAATTCTGGCGAAATGGCAACAAAGAAACCATTACTCTATTTTCCCCAAGAGTCATGGTAATTCACAGACAATAAAGAAAATATGTCTCTGGAGAGCAATGATCACCTCCATCTTTAAGGAATATGGCATTAAAAAAAAAAGAAAAATTAGCAGTGGAAAATAGCTGAAAAATATGCAAGGGAAAGATTAAATGTTACATAGGCAATGTGAAAATATAGACTGCCAAGTTTGTTTGTTGTTGTTGTTGTTTTTTTGGTTTTTTTTTGTAAAAAAAAAAAAAAAATTGATTATTATTCAGGGAAGAATTTGCAATGAGAAAAAATAGACAAAAATTTGATGTTTTTAATTTTCAGGTGTGTTTTGAATGAGATTTTTATTTCAGTTATTTTATCCCTCCAATCTTATGTTGTTGCTTTTCTTACAGAGAAACATGGCAATGATGAGGATAACAAAAAAAATCGGACAGGTGTTGTGAAGCTGAGTGCCATAAATGGAATCATGACCCAGGTGAGTAAATGGTCAGGCTAGTTGATTACTGTAGGTATTATGTAATTAAGTTTGGTTGTTTTATTCCAGTTCACAGAGTTTCCTTTTGTCTCTGATATCTCCAGTTGAGACAGCTTGAAAAGAGATTGGCACCGTCAGGTCAGAGGTGGTGATGATTGGTTAATTACATTAGAAGATTAATTAATACCTGAGACACAGACTAATTTGCTGGAGGTCGATTTTGTTACTGAATGAATAATTAAACTATTTCATGTTGACTGACCTTTTTGGCTATTTTGGTAATAAAACTACCTGCTCTAAAGTTGATTCTAGCTCTAAACATCAATTATTTTCTTTTTTGCCTATTAAAGGCATTTGTTCATGGGTAGACCCACTTGTATGGAGACTACTTTTATAATAATAGTTTAATGAAAAGAAATGACTGAAAATGTAAAAGAAAATTGTGGTAGTGGACATGTACCATTTTCCTAAATGGTGACATTAGCTGTTTCCTTATAAAGAGGCATTCAATGTTCACTGACTGAGCAGCCAGTGCTTACTTTCAGTTGAAATTTATGCAATTTGGGGGGGGGGTGAGAGGTGGGGAAGGTGTCTCAAGTAACTGTCATTGCTCTTTCCATTATTGATTGGGGCTTCTTTCCTAACCTTTTGTTTGAAGTAGTGGAGAATGCCAACATCTTGAGTATAACATTTTCTCTTCAAGTTACATATACTATTCATTTAAGCTGTTGTTGATGCCGAAAGTACTCAAGTGATGTAGTTTCTATTATTTGGTAAAGTTCTTTGTATGTAATTCATTAGTACAGTCCAAGTTTTAAAGAAAGATGGTTCTCATTAAGACCTACATTGTTCATTTGCCATTTTAAAACATTGATCTAAGAAAGTGATTGTATACAGCTGAGAGTTTAGATATTTCTGAATGAGTTTGGCACCATGCATGGCATCCATTTTCCAATGCTGCCTATTTTAACTTTAATTCTTAGATGACTTCTTACTTTTGTTGTTGGTTGATTTTTTTTATCTAGTCTTTATTTATTAAAACTGATGAAAGAAAGAAACAGCAGAGAAATCTGTTATTTTCTTTGAATCACCCTAAGAGCATTGTAGAGTTTAAATTTTTTTTTTTTTAACAAGATTGTCTTAAAGCTTAACATTACTGTAATCTCTCACAGTCCCCCAAAACAGTTTGTTTTTTTTAAGAACCTTTTTAACTCATCTCTAAAGAATTTAGCTACAAGGTTTCTCACAAATCATAAGTATACTAAATAAAGGTTTCGGCACTAAAATTACCTACAGAAGTTGATGTGCTGTTTAAACAAGAACAAAAGAAACAAACATACGTAACATCTGTTCACCTTATAGAGAACAGATGTTATACTTTAAGACAAAAGGTCTGAAATGATGTGCATTTGTTTGAATCTTAAATTTAATTTATAGTAATTTTCATTTTAAAATTTTCCAATGAATACTACAATTTGTTTCTCAATTTATCTCCATAAAACTCCATGTAAAATACTTGGCAAAAGTGTCCTGACTTTTTAGAAATATTACACTTGTAAAAAAAAAAAAAAAATTAAAGAATAATTTAAGATACCTCTTTAAATAAATTCTTTTGATTTATTCCTTCAACTACACTTGTTTGATGACGATCTGATTTTTCCTCTCTTTCCAGAAAAAACATTGTCTTCTCGACATTACACCTGATTCTGTGGAAAAATTGAACTTTGCTCAGTATTATCCTATAGTGATCTTCATTGGCTCAGAAGGAAAAACTGCCATCAAAGATGTTCGATCTCGATGGGCAAAAAATTCTAGTAAAAACTTGAAGAAGCTCTATGAGGAATCAATGAAGCTGGAGAAATTCTATAATTACCTGTTCACAGGTGAGCAGTTCTACTTTGATTTTATAGGAATTCTTTTGAATTTCATTTACCATTTTATAAATTTGTCAGAATTTTTATTAATTTCCATTACTCTCAAACAATGTATTTACTGTGTTTAGTCTAATACAAGTCCAAATGGAGGAGGAGGAGGAAGTTTGTATTGCATTGCTCTTCCAAGAAAAGAGACCCTTTACTTAAGTTTCAAATCAGCATTTAGAAAGACTTGTACATTTATTATAAATTTATAAAAGACCAAAATGCCTCACATCAAAATTTTTGTGAATCCAGTTCAGTGATATTAGGGCAATAAATTGATCCTATCCAAAGTTTATTAATATTTCAAAAGCTAAATAAAGCATTAAGAGACAGGAAAATTTTGTTAGAAAGAAGAGTGCGCTGAACTCTTATGTAATATCAGTCCTTCTATATGACAGTATTTAAAGCTACACTCACAACACAGATGTAATGTGGCACACGGGTCAAGTTTAATATAGTTTAATCATCAGTACTGCAGAAAAATTCTCAAGCCCTCTCAGCACTTACTCTTTAGGGGATATCTCAGGCACTAGGTAATAACCTCAGCCCCCTCCTGAAGGAGAGGCATTGCCTGGGAGTATTGCCCACTGGATCTTGAGCTAATATTATTAGCAAAGGAGTTTGCTCCTCTGTGGTCCAGCCATATTAGACTTTGCTTGTATGACTGGCAGTGGATGCTGGACAATTTCCTCACAGATAAAGAGGAGACTTGAGGCAACAGAAATGTGGTTCTACAGAAGGATGATGAGAATATCATGGATGGTGTATGTGAACAATAAGGAAGTTTTAAAGAAAATGAAACAAAAAGAACTGAACTTTCTAGAATACATAATGAGGAAAGAGCGATTACTCACAGGATTTATTGAAGGCAATCAAAGATAGGGGGAAGAAATAGTAAGTAAACTATATAATGAGCTTGTGTAAATGGATGGAGAACATGGATAGTATGCAAACAGGCATTATTTAGAGCTACAAAGGAGAAGTCATGGAAAGCCATGATCAGCAATGTCCTGAATGGATATAATACATACAAGAAGTTGTGCAATGATCTTGCAGATCCTTAATAAATGGAGTTTTCCTTGGGTGCTTCAGAAATAAATTATTTGATTTTGTTTTCTTTGAAAATTAATTCAAAACTTAATTGAAACAGTTTTACATTTGAGCAGAAAAATAATTAAATTTATGCACATACAGAAATTTTTTTCATTACTCAGTATTATATTCTAGAAAAATTTCCCTCCTCTAAGTTAATTGGAATTGTAGGTGGATTCTATTGGTTTTAAACCTAAATAAGACACATTTACCATGTTTTCTTATGCATAGGTTTGGTTTGGTTTATTTATATTCAACCTCAATGGGTTATTTAATGCCGACAAAATCTTTTATTGCTGGTAATATTTTGTTTTGTCAAAAATCTGTTTCTGGTAATATATTTGACATTGTATTGCTGGTAATAATTTTTTTCAAAAAAGTATTGCTGGTAATAGTTAACTATTTGCCCATAGCTGGGACCCTAACAGGTGCTACCACCCCAGGCCTGGGTGGACCTGGGAACACCAGCAATTAAGAGGTGGTTCCACGCTCCTCAAAACCTCCTGATCAGAGGCCTTGCTGCTGGACATAGTTTAACGTCTTACCCAGGACGCGGATGTAGTTTGATGTCTTACCCAGGACGACTTGTGTATAATACAACCCTATGTTTCTGAAGTTAAAAATCGGGAATAAATTACATCCTTGAGTATAATACTATCCCATTGTATATCCATCCCTATATCATTTTCTTTGGGGTTTTTTAAAGTTGTACCATATTATTCACAAAAATCTCAATGTTGTCATTTTTCAGTGTTAATAAAAATGAACTGGATATTTAGCCATTGCATGTTTCTTCTAATTGCTGTTTCAAAACTTATTTTTGAGGCAAGCTGGTTTTTTGTAACATTAGTGTTACTAAAACATGACATATCTTGTGTACTCCTTTTATTAGTTTTTAATCAGTTTCAGTAAATTACCTGTTTTCAATTTTGCTGATTACCAAAGAACAAATGTTGCCAATATATTAAATACCTTTTGTAAACAATTGTTATCAATACCTCTCTTCCTTGTGTTTTATTATCTATTGTGCTGAGTGTATTTGCATTCTTGTTTCAAATAAGAGGGTTTTTTTTAAGCTGAGTAAAAATTTCTGAAAACGTGTACTTGTGTATAATATGACACCCCATTTTTGCCTTTAATTTTCTTCAAAATTTTCTTCTATGATACACAAGAAAATATGGTAGTCAAACAAGTTATCTTGAGGAGAGAAAAGTCTTTGTAAAATGCAGAGATTTAGTACAACTGGTAATAAATGTGCTCCACCAAAATTCTGATTATTAAACTCCTTACATAATACTTCTTGTTGCAGGCACTATAATCCACAATAGTAGTGATAGTTGGTATCGTAAACTTAAAGAACTCATTGAGGCACAGCAGAAGCATCAAATATGGATGTCAGAGAAGCCAGTAAGTATTGGCATATTAAAGCTATAAATATATTTCCCTTATGTTTCCATCCCAATGTATAGAAAATATTTGCTGCTTTTATTTTTTATCACTGTAAATTGAATATTTTCATTTTTATGTATGATTGTCTGTTTTTTTCTTCTCTTATAAATACAAAACCCTTTTGATTTATTTTCTTGTAAGACATTTTTTTGGCTTCTAAACATTATTGAATGTTGGATGTTAGATCTTTTGTTTGCCTTAAAGTACTCCCTCCTTTTTCTTTTTCTTTTTACTTGTGGATGTTTTGTGAATTTTTTTTTTTCTGTTCTTAGTTCTAAGTGTTGTTGCCATGAGTAGATAAGCTAAGCTTTAGTGTGGCACAAGGCTTAATAATGGAGCACTCGGTGAGAAATGAACTCACAATCACTCGTGAGACTAACTTGTTAACCATCACCCAGGCAGGCACACTTATTATTATTACAAGTATGAAACCAAGACTTAAGAACACAATTATGTTTTTCATTTACAGCTCAGTGATGATAAACATGATGACTTCCTCTTTCCTATGTCTACCCGCTTGAGTATGGTTGCTTCACCTGAAACTGAACATGCCCTCAACCGACCTGTGGATGACATGGACACATTACCTCTGAAGCAAGTACCATTGATGCGATCCTCTTCAGATCCAAGCGTAGCCACTGCTGATCGCATCCCAGCCATTCCTCCTTATCCTTCCCCACCTAGCTACAAACGAGATCAGCTTCAAAAGGTTTGGCAAAGTTTTGATAAAAACCAATATACTGAATGCTAATACTAAATTCAGGAATTTTTTTTTTTTAAAATTGTATCCACTCTGTTACACATGACTGCACATATTTAAGATTTTGCCGCTTTTTGTTGTATTTGAGCACTAAATGTGTAATCGCATATGTGTTATATTTGAACAAGCACTGGTCTTGTTTTTCTTCAGCATATTATGTCTCTATTTATTCTGATCTTATTTTCTCTAAGGAATATTTAATGTAACTTCTGTATTCAGTTACATCTTAAGTTATTTATTTTTTATCATTGATGTAGTCAATCAGAATTCTGCTATTGAAGTCAAAATTATAATCTATATTTTTATATTGACTTTTTAAAAAAATCCTTTAATATCTTATGAATTGTTATTTTCTTTTAATTTATATATTACAATATTAGATAAGATATATTTCTGATCAGGATTTTGTGATTGTTTTTTATCTTAAGCACTATCAGTATTTTTAAGTAAAAAAAAAAAGAAATAAAAAGAACTTATGTACATGACTACTAAATAATTTCAAAGTTATTTTAGGCATAATGAATTTATAGCAATGTGTAAAGTTTCATTTCAGCTGACTAGTATTCATATTGAATCTTAAATTTTGTTAATGTTATCAACACTTTTTTCTCACTTATTTTCTTTAAAACATTATTCCATAGTCTTCAAGGTACCAGAAAATGTTTTTATTCTACAAAAAGACAAACATCCTCTTAGGATAGATTTCTTGTCTAACCATATCACCATTATTATTTAACATCATAAAACAAATTTTTCAATAGCCTCCATATAAAAGAAGATTGAAACATACTTTTCAATCTCCATTTTGTAAATTGCCTGACCAGAATTTGGTGATGTAATGCTGACATTTAAACATAGCAGCTCCTTAGGTGATCATTGATCATACATTGATAAATATGAATATTGGAAAAGAAAATGTTATCAAAATTTGAAAAATAACAATTCATCTGGAAGCCTATTTCTTTAAATTTTGAAAGTGTTAAATGCTCAATACATAGCATCCAAAGTTAGGTTATATAAAAACATTACTTTCCCCTATTGTCAAATGTTGCCTTTTAGCATTGAACATTCAAGCATGATTTTATATACCAAATAGGTGGTGATGAATTTAATGTATCAATTTGTTGAAATATTAGCCTGTGAATTTGCTGGTGCTTAAAATGTAGTTATATTTCCCAAATGTATTGTTATGCTTCTGGAGAACAAATACTTTTCAAATTTGTATTTTTATTAAGCAAACTGTATTGTGCTTTTAATTTCTCTGGATTTACTGCTAATTCTATTTGTATTTTTTTGTAGTTTGTTTAGCAGTATTTGTTGATCCCTTGCTTTACAGCATGCTGGTTGCTAAAAAGAATCCAATTCTTACAAAATTTACTTTTAGTTACTATTGCATTAGATAAATATTATTTAAAAAGATTTTATATCTGTTAGCATGTCAATGTACCTGATTATTTTTTGTAAATTAAGCACATTTCTAAGAAAATGATAAGTCCCCTTTGTTTTTGTTGTCTTCATTTCGTATGCAATTTATGTTCTTCAGGATACAAGCCCTGCCCAGAGCAGCAGCTCTCCATATCCAAGTGAACAGGAACAGTCTCCGAGCAGATTTAAAGAAGGTAATAATTCATTTCTGAAAAGTAATAAAATATAGTGAAGAGTGTTGTACTTTATAACTTGAACAAATTTACTCTTTAAACTAGCTTCACTTTTCTCTCTAGAAATTAACTTTTAATTGTGCTATCCTATTATTGACAGATTTTTTCTTTCAATTTCTTTTCAAATTTTAGTTTATTTTACTAAAGACACTTCAGAAAACATTAAAAAATGTCCTGAAGATGTCAATTATAATTAATTTATTGTTATTTTTGAAAAGTAAAACATTTTGATTAAGATTTTTTGCTTAAAAATCTAACTTAATCATTTAGGGAAAAAAAAATAAGCTATCAATTTTTATTGGTTCATTGAATTGTTTTCAACTGGCAATCATTGTGTATTGTGCTCACTTTGTAGGTAATATTTGACACCATAAGCTACCAATAAGGAAATGGAATCTGCAAATTGAGTTTGAATTTCAGCTGAGGCTGTTTCACAGTAATGTTTAAGAAAAGCATTATTCCATTTCTCTTTGTACTCTTTATCATTGACATGTCTCTTGATGCCACAATTGTGATTTGGTCAGCACTTGATATAATGGTAATAAATGATCTAAACATCTATAATAAAAAGAAAACAGAAATACTTTCTGTAATGAATACAAGATATATTATTATACACAAGAAAATTATTTCTTACTTTCTTCTCCCAGTAAAATTTCAAAGTGAGTTTGCTTTTTCATCTTGCCAATTAATGTATATAAGCAGATATAAATATTAGTTGGAAGGGACTTTCAGGATATTCAAAATATAAAGTTCAAAGCAATAAGACTTCAATATAGTATTCCAACCATGTGACTTTGATTTGAATCTCATCCTGCTTGATTTGTCGAAGAGGCAACTTTTTAAAAAAAAATATCAGCCTAGGGAGATTATCTCAGTGTACAGCATTATTGGGAAGTGCTTGAAAACCACTCCATGTGTTGACCCAAGCCTTCTGAGTAAAATTGGGTAGATGAAACTGTTCTGAAGCCATTGGTAGTTGTGTGAGCACAAAGTCACAAGTCATCATGGCTTGAGCATACTGGCCTTGTTCAACCATTGATCATGCCAGATTATGCACCATAACTGTAATTAAGGTTTGCTCAGCATAATTGCAGTATAAGTCACAGGTTAACTCTGTTTTAAAAAAAAGAGTATATCTGAGTAGGTTTCTGCAACAAGAATTAAACACCTTACTAGACTGCCGGATACTTACTACGTAAGTTCTTAAGATAGTTTTCCTTTAAACTGTAGATATATTCTTGGGGATATGCTTGCACGCAAACAAGTTACTTTTCATGCAAAATTTAATGTAGGGGAGGTAATCCGTATTAAACCAACCGTGCTCTTATGGTTTTATAAAGAGAAAATTTTTACAGCATAGCAACTCACATTATTCTTTAACGAAATGTGATTCAGTTCTTAATTAAAAATTTGGAGAAAAAGATTTTTGAAAATAAGAATTTAAAAGGACTTTTTGTTTTCTTTTTTGTGTGTGTGTGTGTGTGTGTGTGTGTGTGTGATTTGGATATCAATTTTAAAAGATGAAAAGATGTTAAGTTGAAAGAAAAATGAGCTCCAAAACATTTCTGTTTGCAGATATGTATGGAAGTCGTCCAGAAGACCGATATTATCCATCCTATTATAGCCAGAACCTCCCAAGAGACTGGCCCAGCCACAGCAGAGCAAATATAGATCCATATGCCACATTGACGCCAAGCGAAAGACTACGCTCTCATTATGTGGATGAAGGCATGTTACTGGTTTATTACAATTTGATTAAATCTTTAAATTTTGCATTTATTTTCTGGTAGTAATGCTTTTACTTCAGTATAATTTTTCAGTCATTAAAGTGATTTCAATCGAGTGAAAATAATATTCTTTCTCTTGTTTTACCATTCATATTTAATTTAAACTTTGATAAAAGATGTCTTCATAAACAGATTGGCTATTTTCATTGTTAGTGATCACCAGATAAATCAATAGCTATTATTTTATTTAAAAAAAAAAAAAAATCAGCTATGATGGCATATTGGCCATACTCACCTAACCAATTCTTTTCTCCTTCAAAATGAGGAACCACTAATATGTACAGTATGCTAAGAAAAATCAAGCACATACTTATAGAATATACTGACTTTAAACATTGCCAAGAAAAAATTCTATAAAAAGGTAAGAGACATGAACAAGTTTTTCAGACAAACCAACCCAAATAACATCCTTAACTTTATAAAATAGGTGAGGCTTCAAACAAAGATTTAATCTCCCACAATTTAAAAAAACAAAAATAATAATTCTTAGAACATCTTTAACTAAAACCTAGAAACATTCTTACAAAGCATAAGTATACTAAATAAAATCTCTGCATTAAGATGACCTACATAGATTGATGTGCCATTAAACCAGAAAAAAAACAAACCAACTTGGGTCTTCAGTCATAGCGGACATTATCATTTTACTTTTTATTCATTAATTTATTTATTTGGTTTTTAGATCGCCATCCAAATCGAAGGTACAGAGATCCAACGCATGAAAGTTGGCAGCGGGATGAGTCACATAATCATCCACGTCACAATCCAGCATCATCACCCCCTGTGCATCCAGAGCAAAGCCCGTCACATGATCAAAAGGTAATTGTTCCTCAATCTAAGCTCCAGTATTTTTATTTTTTGTTTTTGGTATTTCTCTGTATTTATCATTTTTCCTCCTTGCATTTGTCTATAACTTGCATCAGTGCAGTTTTCCTATCATAGATATTTTTAATATTTATATTTGCTATTCTTTTCATTATAAATAAACAACATGCTTATGTCAGAGGGTATCCCCCAGACGAGGCTCTGCTAAAGGGCAGAGTCTCATTTTGGGAAACTGATTCCGTTTTTATGTGGACTATAGGCAATTTTTGCCTGAGCCTACAGTCTCAGATACCCTACTTTAAACTCAGTCTTGTGCCACATCTTGCTGCATGGGGCAGCAGGTAAGTAAATATAAATAAAAAAACATTAATCCATTACCATATCAAAGTGAATGTTGTTTTAAAATTTTTTGGCCGAGATTAGGATTAGATTTATTAAAAGTTGATTATAAAACTCTTAAATTCTGCTATTACAGTATTGTTAAAATAAACAAGAGTGTAAACTTTTAGTCACCACATAGTAGTTTCATTCTTATATTAAATCAAAGTTAAGGTTTCAGATTTGTTTTTATTTATCAAATTACATTCAATCTTCATATTTTCTTAATGATATTTTCTTTTCTCTTCTTTTGTAGATCTACAATGATTCTTCTTCATACAGTAGTGATTCTTATTCTCGCTATACCTCCAATCCAGTAAATAAACACGACGACAGCAAGCTCCAAGAGAAATTTGGATCTTTATTTATCTCAAAGCGCACTGAACGAAACATGCCTTCTTCCCACGACCCTTATCGCTTCACACGGAGCACTGCCAACCCTGTTAATGCAGTTAATGTTGACAAAGCTAAATTATCAGACCTGTCTGCAAAATATCGGTAAGTTACAGTTCTGTTAATTCCTTTTAACATATAATCTAGGAATATCTAAATATCTCAGGTACAAATGCAGCTTTTGTTTGTTTTTGTTTTTTTTTTTTTGTTTTTTTTTTTTAACTCTTGAAAATGACTTAATGATCAGATTATATTAGATACTTTTGAATGAAGTATTTTATGTATACAGGGGACTGCAGAAGTAGGTATACAGTAAATATTATTATATGCCAGTATTATGCCAGTATTTCTGCAATTCATTTAATACTAGAACTCATTTTATTCATTTTTAATATTTTTATTTTCATAATTTTTATTATCATACATTTATTATAATTTTTATTTTTTAATAAATAAGAATAATAATTTTTTTTGTTGCGGGTAAGGAAAAGTGTGTGACTGATGGGGGGAAAACAATTTGAACATTTGAGGGATTGATGTCTATTATTGATATGTTTGTATAATCAATATAATACATTTGTTTTGTTTTTCATTAATGTATACTTACTTTTATGTCCCCATGTGTGTGTGACAAAGTAGGAAAAAAAAATTTTCTAACACATTTTGTCCTTTGACTTCATCAGATTAAAGTGATGTTTTTGTTGATGTAACTACACATGAGCATGAAAGGGAGGGGGAATATAATAATGCAAACATTGGTTATAATTATGTGTAGATAGGAAATTTTTCTTTTTTTATAGATGTGTCTATCATCTAGCCAATTTCATTTAGTTTCTCTTTGTTGTTTTTTTTTATGCTTCTATAACTTTTGTTATTTAATGTTTCACATTGTGATAATAGAAGATCTGCCAAGAAAGGGGAAACATTGTAAGAACTTGGACATAAATTTACTATGGATGATCTAGCAATTAAAACACTTTCTATATACTTTTGTCTTAATAAATAACTTTCTCTTTTAATTAAAGTGGCCTTATATATATATATATATATATATATATATATTGGAGAAGATAGTATATAAATTGTTATATACCAGAACAATGTTATGAAAATTAATGACAAAGTTGGGGAAAAAATATTTGTGTGAGATATTTTGTCCTTTAGGACTTAATCAGACTACAGTGATGTTGTAGCTAATGTAACTACACATAAGCACAAAGGGGAGGGAGGAATATTTTAAAAAATGCTACTTTACTTAAAAGAGAAAGCAATTTATTAATATAGAAAGTGTTTTAATTGCTAGATCATCCAATATTTCCCTTTTCTTGGCAGATCTATTATGAGAATGTAAGAAAATTATTAACAAAAGTGATAAAAATATAAAAAAAACACAAACCAAAAGAAACTAAATGAAATTAGCTAGACTAGATACCCAGACACATCTATAAAAAAAAAATCATAATTTAAAAGTTTAAAATTTCAGCATCTCCACATTTTCAGCTTTTCCTATCTGTATAATTATAACCAACTTTAAAAAAAATATTCCCCATCTCCTTCATGTGCATATGTAGTTACATCAACAGAAACATCACTTTAGTCTGAAGTTCTAAATGATGAAACATGTCATTCAAAATCTTTTTCCAATTTGTCATTAATTATCTAATATATATTTCCTGTGCAATGCTGAAGTTCCTTAAGATCTTCATTTTAGAGAAAAAAAGTTTCTTTTATCAGCAGTTAAGTACTTGCAGATTGCAATAATGTGTCCATGTTTTGCTTGGCAAATGTTCTTTTTGTAACCTTGAAAGTTATCAAGCAGCAAAATAATTTTCTATTTTTCAGACTTGGCAATATTGATTTGAATTTTGAATTAACTATTTTAAGCTGGTCTACATAGCTATGTGCATTATTGTTGGCTATTTATAAAGAATCTATGATATATTCAAACAGCCTTGCTTCCCCCAAAATAGACATAATTGTGTGATTAATGTTTTGGCCTTTCATTGTACAGATCTTCTGATTATCAGCAATCCATTTTTATCACAAGTTGATAATCTAATGCAAAGATGATCCATTGAGCATTTGATTTTGTTATTTTTTTTATTGTGTATTTTTTTTTAATTTATGTACCTTTTGTTCCTTGTTCTGTGGAATGGATTCTCTTGAGCTTTTTATTTTTCCAGCCATTCTTAAATAATTTGAAATGATTCCAATTGATAAATTGAAGTTAGCAAATTCTAAGGTTTAGAGATGATTTTCAATCACAACTTTCAATTTTTTTTTTTTTTTTTTTTTTTTTTTTGTGGGGAATTTTGAGCTAAAATCTCCATTTTGTAAAATTTTTAAACCAAAATCAGCTTCATTTATTAAGAACATTGTCTCTAATTGATTACCTTCTAAGCATCCGATGAGGGGGTGTCCACCAAAAAAAATAAAAAAAAAAAAGGAAAGTAAAAATTACCCGTAAACGGCTTAAATAGATCTCTTTGCGTTGTGATTGGTTGTTGGTCAATCTCCAATCAAATGTGAGATTACGGGGTATTCTTATAAAAGTCAGCACAAACAAGCATTATTCTTAGAGGGCGTTTCAGAGTCTGATCAGCTCTGAAAGGGTCGATTTGGTGAGGTCAGTATGATGTTTGAAAGACCCGAAACTGTCCAATGATCCTTTTCTAGAACATCACTGACGACGCCCTCTAGCGCTAAAGGAGCGTATATTCAAAGGAGGGTTAAATTCTTTGTTTCTTCAGATCCATTATAGCAAAGCTTTAATTCATACAAGGATAAAACTTGAAAGACTGGAGATTAAAAACCTTTTTGCTTTGATGTGTGTAAAAAAGAAAAAAAAAATTATAATACTAATAATAATACTGATGAAACAAAAATAATACTCAAAAAATTTAAATTTCAAATCAAAAATTGTAAAATGCTAATCTTAAAAAACAATTTAATTTTGAATAGTTAATTATAAGATATTTATTTATAATGATGGTGGTAATTTATTTTCAAAATTTAGGTACACATTAGCATGTAGCTTTTGATTAGATTTTTTCCAGTTTGTTTTTGCAAAGGAATTAGGATGCTTTTGAAGCTTTGGGGGGGGGGGGGGGTGTTAAAAAAAAGCTCTTCCTTTTTATGGTCTTTATATAATATAGAGTAAAATTTTGAATGAAAACCTATCACTATAGATTTGTTAGACCGTAAATTCAAAGAAACACCAACAATATGCTTCATTCTCATGCTGTGTTCTTTATTTTCAAGGAAATAAAAATACAGTAACAAAGCAGTAGCAATAAAAAAAAAAAATAAAAAAAAAAGGTTCTATGCTATATTTTTTCACTTTGTACAGGAAAGAAGAAGTTAAAATCAAAACTGGTGTGAAGTCTGGCTTACCATTGAATACAATTGCTGATGAGAGTACAGTAGAGAAACAAGGCACAGGAAGTAATTCTCCTGTTGCTTTCAACCAAACATCTACTCAAGAATTTCACAAAAAGCCATTCAAGAAGGAACCACCCCCTGTGCCTATAAAAACATACACATTACGAGAACGGGGGTTGAGTTCCAGTGAACTGAACAAATTGAAAAATTATGAGAATCCTATGCGGTAAGACTTAAGAAGCCATTAGATGTGCAGAGTAATAACAAACATATTTAATATATTTATTGTTTATATGTTGTTTTTATAGATACAAATATTTAAGTAAATGCTCTGTTTATAATAAACTTTTACTGGCCTGGATGTCAGAAATTTCATAGAAAATGTGTCCTCTGACAGGAATCGAACCTGTATCCTACATGGAACCATCATATAGCCTGACATGCTATACCATTTTGCTACAGAGGAAGCATCTGGTTAGCAAGGTCGAATTACTGCTTTTAAACTACAAATTTCCTGGACATTCAGGCCGGTAAATGTTGTTAATACTGTTTATTATAAACAGAGCATTTACTTAAATATTTGTACCTATAAAAATAATGTATAAACAATGAATATATTAAATAATTGTCGGACTTATTTCATAATATAATAACAACCATAGTAATAATAATAATTTTTAGTTATAATTATATAAAATATAACCAAGGCCTTTTGATTGGCTTTAATTTTACTGCTTAAGCTGCTTGCTAATCTTGAGGGAGCCACATAGTTACTAAATGTAAGAAAAATGGTTTAAAGCTTCTTTCACTCACATATTGCAAAACTAGTTCTCACCTACACAGCCTTATTTTGCTAATTTGGTATTTTTTATTTTTTTAAACTCTAATAGATGCCTTTTAGTTTTCTTATTTGAACTTACTTTCAATGAAATTGTTTATTTTTTCACTAATACTCAAACAAATTATCCCAGAAATTAATGTTATGTAATTTTGTTTATATCTAATATATAATTCTTAATCAAGGCCGATCTCAGTTGGAATCACAAAGTCATTGTAAACTCTACGATCCTTTCCTCAGTTGCATAGTATATGCTTCTCCAGGCTTACATGTAGTTTTGTATTCAGAGTTATCCTTCTCCTAGATTGTTAAGGCTGAAGAGCCCAGTCTGTCCTACTATTTAACCCAAATTTAGGGGGTTCATGAATTCATAACTTTTCCAAGAGTATTTGAGTGAAAGTGAATGCAACGAAACTCAACTGGAATGCAAACTCTGCTCTCTGATTTCTCATTCAGAGTTGCTATCCATTATACCACCTGGACATTGATTATACCACTTGGACATCTATAACTTTCAAAGTTCTGCTCAAAACTGAAAATTAATTAACCCATTACTGGCCACTTTAAATCTGGCATTAATCATAGGGTTCTAAGAATAAAAAAAAAAAAAAAATTTAAGTATCTACTATCAACATTAATTACAGGTTTATATAAAAAAAATCTAGTGTTAATGGGTTGGTGGACATTAATAAGTCAAATATTTATGTAGTTGTATATACACACAAATATGTAAAACTATAGCACCAATTAAATGCAGTTTTATCATTTATATCTTCCAGCAGGTGTTTTAGATCTTAGCAGTTGTCATTTAATGAGAAGTAATTTGCATATTTAGCTTTAAAAATTAAATTTTGAAAATAATTGCTTTGTTATTAATTTCCAATCTGGTCTCTTGTAAATTTTATAAATAATTGTTTTGTTGATGGTATATATATATATATATATATATATATATATATATATATATATATATATATATATATATTACTGAGTTATTCAAATAGTCATTTTCTGCCCTGAAAGTAGTAACCACCTTAGCATTTAGATCACAGTTTGAGATAAAGGGAAGTAAGCAGTGTTGATATTTTTAATAGTATATTTTGAAAATCTAATAAATTATGTGTTATAAAATAAAGGACTACCGAAATATTGAATGGCCTTGATGATAATTCCACTAATGCCATTTTATATGGCATACACAAATCTCTTAAATCACTGTACAGCACAAAAGAGCAAAGGAAATGGTCTTGGCTCATCAATGCCAGCTATCTTTGCTAGTTTGAAATAATATTTTTTATAAGATCATTTGCAGATATCATTTCAAGCTTTGATTCAGGATGTCTTGAATTTTTATGCTATTATCAACTTACCTTTATCATTCTGTATGTGACATGGAGGCATGGTGGAGTAATGGATAGCAGCTCAGATTGAGGAATCGTAGAGCTGAGTTCAAATTCCAGTTGAATCCATTACATTCACTTATGTGCTAATACCCTTGGGAAAAGTATGAATCCTCTTCTTCTCCTCTCTGCTATGGGTAAATAGCAGGACAGACTGGGTTCTAGAGCCTTGGATGGCAACTGGTCTACTGCAGAAAGAAATGGCAACCTACTGTGGGAAAAAAATCTGCCTCGTCAGTCATGTATCAAAAGATACATGATCGCCTATGCGTGTATCACACATGGCACATAACTGACTGACTGACATGACTTCATTTGCTGTACAAAAAGTTTATCCTGCCACTGAAGGTGACTCTGATCCCTGAACAATAGTGTGTTTGAATTTCATAGTTATGTTGTCATAACCTGTTATGGAAACAGGAGTGAGTAAGGATAATGCAATTGATAGGCATTAAAAAAGAATGCAATGAAAAGGGAAGTAATATTAATAATGCAGAGTGCTAAAGGTTTAAAATAAATCTGTATATAAATTGGTTATAAAGCCAAATCTATTTTTTGTATTCATAATATTGTCAATTACTTTGTGTTAACTTTAATTACTCAGTGCAAAATTAGCTTCCTAATCTTCAAAGTCGTATCTAAATATTCATTAAGTTTTCGTGAGGTCTTTAAATAATGAATCTAGGTTTAATTGGGCCAAGGAATGTTTAATTGTTCAGGAATTTTTTTTTTTCTATTATTAAATGAGGACTATTGCCATATAATTTTCCAGTTTTGATAGAGTTCAAAAGTGTTTACACAACCTTGTGGGTGATAAATTATTTTCCATCGTATAACTCCTTACCCACAGATGAAACACTGCAAGCCTCTTGCTACTCTATTGCTATTTCCAGACAAATGTTCTGACTAGCTACATCCTTTAGTTCTACCAACTCTGACCTTCACAGCTAAGACCTGTCATGCCACAAACACAGAGTCAAATCATTCTCATTCCCTCTGTATTCCCTTACTAAGAAGGAAGTTGCATTTGGACAGCTTCTTTCTAAGAACTGCTACTCTGTGGAACACACTTCTGAAACGTTGTGTTCATGATCACTACAATCTTAACCTTTCCAAGTCTAGGATAACCATTATCTTTCTTACATATCCCTATAAATTGCACTTCTTACCTCCTCCGGTAACTATCAACATGGGTGGCTCTTGTATTGGGTGAAAAATTAGTAAAACAAATAAAATCTCTATCAAAATCATAGTGGTGTTCCTTTTCAAATGAAAACTTGTTTTTATTATCTAGATTGTTATTTTTACCTCTGTCCCATAATAGTTTTTATATGTTGTATATAAAATATGTATACAAATTTCACAACTCTGATGGAACAGTTAGTAATTTATTTTCATAGTCTGCAAGTTTTTTTAATTTTTATTTTCTTAACATCTTTTATGAGAAAGGTTAATAAAATAAAAAGATCAATTTATCTCTTAAATGGGTTGGATATTATCTATTTGAAATTATCAATGAATATATTAAAAAAAAAAAAAAGTTATCCCCCCCACACACACACACCAACACTCCCGCCCCCACCCATTTCACCATTAAATATCTTTTTCTGTTATGTATGAAAGGTTTTTGCACATTTTCAAAATTTATCTTCACCTTTTATTCATTTCTCTCTCTCTCTCTCTCTGGGATGACTCTTGCCTTCTCATTAACAAAACTAACTTGAATATTTGTTTCCTGCTTGTATATTTCTTTGCAAAAATTAGCTTTTTTTTATAAAACTTCTTTTCATCATTTCCTTCAATATTTTGATTATTCAGTGGAAGATATTTATTCTTTAGAAAACATTCAATAAATTAGTAGGAGAGGAGTAAAAAAAACTTCTTGGGGCAGGGATTTGACTGCACTCTGGATTGTAAAATCCTTTCCTCTTATTTTACCAATATTATATATTCTTTGTACATTTAACAGTAATAAGAAATAAGGCAGTCTGAGATAATTATCTGTAAAATTCTTAATCACTAAATGTGGATAATGTGCTTTTTCTTTTATCTTCAATACAAATAATTTCACTGATTACAAAATTCTTAACTGAGCACATTGATCTTTGAGTATTTCAAATTTTCTTCCTTTTCCACGTTAATATTTTTTCTTTTTACACTTTTCACCTTTTTAAGGCTTAGTTAGAACTGTTTTATGTCCTACGCTTTTTTTTTTATAAATTTTAATATATTTTTTCTATATTACAGACTAATATTTTGTATTTTTTTCTTTTTATAATTTAAGTATATATATTTGGTATTAACCAAAATCAGAGTCGGTATTCAATTGGTTTAAATATTGCTTTTAAATGTTTTTTCTTTTCTTTTTTCTTTTTTTTTTTATACAGAACTTCAGCCACAGTGTGTGACATATGCACCACTCTTTTTTTTTTTTTTCTTTTTTATTGCAAATTTTTTTTTGTTTTATTCTCTTGATGTAAATATCAATTTGATCATAAGACACATTCTTAAATATTTTATTTTTTTTAATAACCTAAAACTAATTTTTTTTCTTTTTTCTACAGCACCTACAGTGGACGGGAATATAACCCAGCTCAAGCTTACAGGGTTGATCACATACGCACATCAATAGCGTCCAGAACTGACCTTCATCCAGTTGGTCCTCGGAGCACACACGAATCCCCACATCCGGCTGCTCTAAACAGCATCACGGATCCTGTTGGTTCGCCGTCTTCCAAGGCACACCTCAATGGAAGTGCCATCAAAGGTCATTACAACAGCATGGACAGTCCTCAGATGATGACCGAGGCAAAACGCAAAGACTCATACCACCAAAGCCCCACCATTGCTGCTGCTGCCGCCACTGCTACAGGCACACCCGCAGTTCCTGCTCCACACCATGAGAACCATTATAGGGACAAGTACCAAACGGACTCTGACTATAATAACCCGAGGTCATTCTCTAACTGCACTTACATGGACCACCCAAATATGGAGCGCTACCCTCCTCCTCCTCCTCCTCCTCCCCCTGAGCAGATCTACTGCAAATCAAATGATGTAGCTAAATTTGGAAGAGAATCAAATTATGGAAGCCCCGCTAACCGACCCAG